AACTAAATTCAGACAAGGATTAGGAGTCGAGAATGGTACAACGAATCCTCTTCTTTCTCTAATAATTTGCCAAAATAATTGCCCGAATATGAATTTGTTATATCTTTTCTCGTATATTTTGGTGATAAATAACACTTTCACAAAATACATATTATCCTCAAATTTTTGCTCACTCGCTTCGGTCACTAGCCGAATTGTGAAACCAGAGAATTACTTTTTCGGGCAAGAGGCTTCAGCCCCCCCCCCCCCCCCCCCCCGATGAAAATGTCAAAAAAAAATACCGGTATGGTGCTTCTAATATGACCTCGTCAGTATTGGTATGTTGAGTTGAAAAACGGTCTGCGCAATTTTCCGGCCCTCCCTATTGGAAAATCCTGGATCCGCGCCTGGCTTACCTATATGTTTGACGAAAAAAAGCTGGAACAAAATTATTCTGATTCCCTAAACGTTACCCGTTGGTCTAATTTGCGTTTGTTCCTTTGTCATATCCTATTTAATCAGCTGTACCTTGTAAAAGGCTGGACCCACCAGAAAACGGAGCGCTAGTCTGCGACGCGTGGGAATACGGCCGGTTTTGTAATATGTTTTGCAACAAGGACTACGACATACCCCGTCAAAGTGCAGCTAATGATCCACCCGATCTCTATGTATGCGGAACGTCGGGACTGTGGTCTCCTCATGCCAATGTACCAGATTGCTCAGGTAAAAAATAAGATGCAACTTAAAGTTATGAACATTTCAAACAAACTTCACTGTTTCTAATAAATCTCCTTTGACATCCAAACTTGGGATATAAGTTATTTTGAGTACGAAGTGCGATTATGAATGATCGTGCATGTGTTCTGGTAACAACAAAGAAAGAGATAGATTGAACGTATACAAATCAAATAAACTATTAAGGGTAATGCATAGTGCTTGTAAAAGTGGAAAGGTTTAAAAATGACAGGTTTTCGTACTTTCTGATTTTTTATACATATAGGAGAAAAATATGAACCCTAAAATGTTTGCTCTGGAGAAGTTTATATTGTCGAGAAATCGCACGTTTATTTGATTTTTGAAGGATTATATGTTAACAATCGGTTGGGTATGTGTGTGCATTGGTTGGTGTTTGTGTGTGCTTTTGTAGGTGGCTGCGTGCGTATGTATACGTGTGTTACGGCGGATTCAGTCATAGATGGTATTGTCTCCTGACTCAAACTTTACAGTGAAGGTTTTATCTATGTTGATGAATTCCTGACCCCCAAAACGTTTGAGAATACCAAAAGTAGAAGAGTGAATCTGTTGGCCCAACTGGAATGACCATAACCTATGTTTTGTCTGCATCGCATTCAATGATTAACTGAGGAATACTGATTATTACTGATTATGGCAGATCTGCTAGATTTACCATACACAATTTGCATAAATATCAAATCAATTATTTTGAATTACACTGTGCATTATTTTTAAGAATAATCAAACTTGACGATTCCTGGTCAGATAGGAACACGCTTTTTCATGTGGATACCAATTTTTATTTTTGCAGAGGTCAGACGTGCAGGTCGAAGCAATTTACCAAGTGAGCTGCTGTACTACGCAGGAACCTGTGGAGACGCGACAACCAACAAGGAAATTGCCGAAAACTTTATCATCCTCCTCAATAACTCCCAGTACAAGGATATTTGCAAAGATGCGCAAGAGTGTTCCGTTCAAAACGTAGAGGTTACATGCGGTCCAACCATTTTGTCCCTTTTGTCCGCATCCATTTTGTCTACATCCCGCAGCGAAATCCGCTCGCGGAGAAGCATCCGGAGTCAACAAAAGCACGTCGAAGACACGATCTCACGAAGAGGTGTTAAAGAAACACCCATCGCCAATATTCAGCAGCAGTTTGAATATTCCATATACTGGGAATTCGCCGTTAATGTGGACCAGGATCCTTCCCTCAGCAACTTGGAGGCCGCCCTCAACGCCGAAAATGTCACAATCCAGATGGTTGATGCCATAAGAGCGGATATCGATAACGGCACCTTCCCGCCACCATCAGTACCGGGTGTCGATCTTGAAATACAAAATGATTCTTTGGCATATGGGTATATCAAGGTTGAGTGCCCTAATGGTTACATCTCTGATAACAGCGATCTGCATTGTTGTGAGTATACAGTCAAATATAAATTGATCATATGATTTTGGTTTCTAAAAACGCGTATAAATTTCACTTGATTACATGCAAGGAGTCTATCAATTACCTTATTAATCTTACTTTTGATTTTTACCCTGGTGGAATCGTATTACAATGTAGATGGCCCATGAGTGAAGAATAGAGAAAAGGGATATCGCAAAGGATTAATAACGAGATGGCCATGACAAAACGATTGCAAATCTTTTGACTCTTATAAACCTAGGATGTGAACTCAAATAAATAATGCATTAATTATGGGTCCCTGTTACTTCATTTTGTGTATATATTATAGGCAGACAACAATGATTGTGTTATGATGACGTAAAGTTTAATATGCTTTAATATGACATATCAACAACTTTGGCCACTGTTGGACGTCTGTCGTATCGCCAATGCATAATCATTTTGCTGATCTACAACCTTTGAATCTTCTTAGTTGTACGGAAATTCGTTAAATGTGTCATAATTATGATGGGTAGTAGCGACACTGCATTCTCAGTGGTTTTTCAAACATGGAATTTCTCCACACAGCTGCATGCACCACTGGGACCTACTATAGCAACTCCACAAAGGAATGTCTTTCATGTCCGCGAGGGACTTTCCAGGATGAGCAAGCTATGATGTCCTGCAAGGCTTGTCCTGAAAATAAATGGACGGCCGACGAGGGCGCTACAAACACCACTGAGTGCAAAGGTTGGTTTTTGAATTATCATAAACGGAAACAAATGAAATGGTATTTAAATGAAAAATAAAAAGCTTCAAGGGAGCGGTGTGAACATATCATTCCGCTGTTATTGAGGCAATGGTCAATTACAGCTTTGTCAAATTTAAGATGATAATCACAGCAAATCTGATAATTTTCATTTCATTGGTCTGATTCTAGTCAAACCTAGTTCAAGATTGAAATGTCGCTGGGAGGTTATTCTAAATGATATAATCTTAAAGTTAACGTAAAAACCCAAGATCCTGCTATTTAGAATTGCAACGCCTTTGTGTTTCATAGGTGTTTCAGTTTAACTTGTAATAAATGTCTTTTATTCCTACAGATAAATGTTTGGCCGGTACATTTTCCAGCACGGGCGTTGCACCTTGTTACCGCTGTGACTTCGGATTCTATGAAAGCAAGCCATTTAGTACCAACTGTGCCATATGCCCAAATGAAACAACAACGCTCCAGAGAGGTTCCAACTCGTCTGGTCAGTGTAAAGGTAAAGTCACTTTGTTTCAATCCGACTTATAGCACTAGCAGACAAATTGGAGTTCTGACAAAGTTTTGATAAGAATTTCATATAAACATTTTTATTCAATAAATAATTTAAATATGTTACAATATTTAATAGGCCTTGTTCTTTTATTCTAATGTAATGCATACTTTTTTGTAAAGTGCCTCAGTAAGAAATTTTTCTTTTATTTCTATTACGAATAATTGTGTTCCAATGTTCAGAATGCAAATTGCATACACTACCTATTGATAGGTAGGACAAGCCTTAATGTTTGTAAAATTTCGCATCAACCAATGCATGCAATTTGAAATATGATTGTTGAGATACGATGCTATATAACATGTGAATGCAATAGGTCGCCGCTAGGTAAACGCGTCTAAATTGAATCAATTTGAAAATGGTATATTGTATTCCAGTTAGACAACATCCATAAATGTAATTAAAGGGATTAAGATTTTTTTTTTAAATACGTTTGTATAATCTGAAATTTCTAGATCGGGCACATTTTCTAAATAACATACACGGCATATTTTTTTTTAAAGATTTCTTCTAAATATCAATTCAATAACCATGAAGATGTTGAGTTCGGGAGAGACTGGCACAAATACAAAGTAAATATTAATTGTTTATCCTACAACCCCAATAAAAAAAACTGGCGAATACCTGCTCAAAATTACTGGGAGAGTGGGGGGGGGGCGGGACACAAGATGTCACATGTCATGCATGTGTGTCGACGCTACTAGCTATTATTTTTGTAATATTTCGCTGCTGATAAATTAGCAATCTTTTCAAACACAATGTTTACTATGACATTTCGGGGGGGGGGGGAGTTTCGGTTTTTGTCATTACCAGAACTCAATATTACAATCTAACGCTTCCTTTGTCAAATTCCATAGCCGCCTGTGAGCCAGGACATTATTCCGAGTCAGGTGTTGCACCCTGTGTAAGATGTCCAATTGGAAGCTACCAACCGTCCCAACAAATGACATTCTGTGTAGGCTGTCCCGGAAATACAACCACTCTTACAGAGGGCGCCACGCTGAGTGAACAGTGTCTAGGTGTGTATGACTAGAAGGTCATTACTCTCGTGGCAAACAAAAAGAAACTGAACGAAAGGGTTTTGGTTTATAGTGAGATATCACTGACGTAGACCAGAGTTTGCTCATTGATTTTGAAACCAAAAGAATCAGGGCCCTTTTTTATGAAACTTGTTTTCATTAACAATTTACAATAACTGTTATAAGCTACTGAAATCATAGCATTTAATTGGCTGAGAGAAAATTTAGCATTTGTTATTGATAACAAGTTTACTGAAACAGGGCCCAGATGTTATTAGTACTAAATCTTTGAATGGTAACTTTCGTCTTATTATTATTACTAATTACTCTTTGCCTCGGTTCCTTAAAACACGTTGGACAGCTGGAAACACCTTAAAAATACATATAACTACCAGGGCCGTTTTTACCAGTTCAGATGGGCACAAAGCCTCCCACCCAGAATTGGATGAAAGCTTAAATTCATTCCGTAACTTTATACAGTAGAAATTTGTTTGTTCTTTCGTTAGTCTGTTTCATTTTTGAAGAAATATAACATCATCCACACTCTGCAGATGAAATATGTCGAGAATCGAGAGAAAAGGTACTGAAAAGTTTCTTACCTGTGATATTTTGGAGATATGAACCCAATTAAGAAATATGATTCGGATTTATAAGCTAATCTTGACTTCCAACTAACTTTTCCAACCATCGTTCAATATCATGTATCCCCTAATCATTCTATTTCCCCAGATCCTTTCTTACTTTTATTTTTTAAACTAAATAAATTGCTACAAAATTTGAATATTTATTTAAATGACATCTGTATGGTTTCTTCTGTGAACTATGATTGGCCTTATGCATTACAAACCGGACTTTTCGACTCATCGTTTCAATCTAATACAAGCCAACATGTAAACTATAAAGTATAATATATGGTTTCTTCTAGGTATTGATGAATGCAACAGTCAACCGTGCCAGAACAACGCTACCTGTTTGGATAGACTGGAGAGTTACTCCTGTATTTGTATTCCAGGTTTTACTGGGGAAAACTGCGAAGAAAACATCGATGAATGTGGATCTAACCCTTGCCTTAATGGAGCAACTTGCGAGGACAGTATTAACTCCTATGCATGTCAGTGTGCGCCGGGATACGAAGGTAATCAAAAATTGTCGATTCAGGTGAAGCCAAGAAACAATATAAATGGAAGCACTTAGGCACTTCGCTGCCTGAAATTATAGTGTTTTAAATTGTTGTAAGAGACCGAAGCGAACGACAAAATAAAACACATAATTGTCTTACAAACGTATAAAAAAGCCGACCTAAATTAAAAATGCATATTATGGGGCTATGATCAAAACTTTCAATAATGGTAATTAAGTCAGATTTGTATTATATTTTATGTTGCACTTCCTTACTGGGCATAATATTAATCGAGTCGGATATGAAATTAATCACAGACGGTCAGACACTTGATTGGCCTCAGAATGTAATTAAATACTAAATGACACTATCTCGTCAGTTTCTTGTGGATCCAGTGAATAATTATCTAAGGTTTTTGCTGTTGCGAATGGCAATAAAACGGTTGTATTTTTTTTGTTGTTATTGCTTTTTACAGGGGATGGATGCGACCTAGACATCGATGAATGTTTGTTGGCACCGTGTCAGAACAACGGTACCTGTGTAAACTATGCTGGTTCCTATGAATGCCGATGTCCTGATGAGTTTCACGGGCACAACTGCGAGTATGAGATCAACGCCTGTTCTCCGAATCCCTGCCAGAATGGAGCGACTTGTGAAAGTGTTCCTGGCGACGTGTTAGGTTACAAGTGCATTTGCACCCCTGGTTATTCCAACACAAACTGCTCTCGCGACATCAATGAATGCAACTGTGACCCTTGTCTCAATGGAGGGTCGTGTACTGATGAAGTGGCCCGCTACACATGCGATTGTCCGAACGGATACAAAGGGGATAGATGCGAGATTGACATCGATCTGTGTGCAGATGTTGCTTGTGAAAACAACGCCACATGTATTGACTTCGGTACTTCTTGGACCTGTTTCTGTACCTCTCCTTACGCCGGCACATTCTGCGAGAAAAACAAAACTATTTGCGATGACGACCCCTGCCAGCATGGCGGCAATTGCACCAATTTAGCGGGAAATGAGTTCAGCTGCGAATGTCGTGCAGGATTTACAGGTCAAAGTTGTGAGATTGTCATAGACGCATGCTTGTCTGGTCCATGTTCCAACGATGCATCGTGCAGTACTGATCCGAATGGACACTCTCTATGTCTATGCACACCAGGTTATACAGGTAAGCCAAAGTGAATGACATCGGGTGTACATGTATTCTTAAAATTAACGGGCATCTTCGTCTTGTTATTTTACAAGCATTTATGGTAAGGTAAGTAAAGTTTGTGTCCGGTAACCAGGGATGTCATTAGAATAGGATGTACTTTGTTACACCCGTCTTCAAATTCATATCGACGAGTTTCATGTCTTGTTTGTTTGGTTTAAGACGGTTGGCTCTTGATGGGGGATAATAGGGACTTTTAGATTTGCGTGGACTGATACGTGTGACTTCCATTCGAGGCAGTGCATTAAAAGGACGTCGATCGTAGCAATCCCCATTGTCTTCGTGCGAATCTAAAAGTCCCTAATAAATGCTGTGCTGTACCCGAGTTTCACAGTAAACGGTTCAGTAACTTATTTATTGATATCAGGTTCCTTGTGTGAAAATTACAGAAACCCATATACGACAGACACACAGAGCAAACCCAAGATGGAATATTAATGATTTCAAAACTTCGAAATTACACACAGATACCATTTCAATTTTCATATCAGGGTCTTTCTGCGAAGATGATATGAACGAATGCATAGCAGAGCCTTGCGGTGCCAACGGAACATGCATCGACAAGATCGCCTCTTATGAATGCCACTGCGCAGATGGCTGGAAAGGACCAAACTGTGCAGTGAAAACGAACTTCTGTGAGGAGAACCCGTGTGACAATGGTGGCACTTGCAATAATGTGGAGGATGGCTATGTCTGTATTTGCTCTGCAGGCTACAGAGGTAATTATATAGTTTTATTCCGAGGAGTAGCTCATCTGCAGTAACTAATTAACAAAGGAAAGGCGGAATACTTTCCGGATTTCCTTATTTTGTCGTCGTGGTCCTATATTTACTTTCATACAGATAGATACATTTTAAATTCACAACTATTGATTGTTTTATGCTTGTGTTAATCATGTAGATTATGAAGCTAAAACTAAAACCGTATCATATAAGATTAGCTGCATTTACCTGACTGTCAAGAAGGTCCAGAACTTGTACAACACAGTGAACAATTGTGATTGTTTTGTCCCTGTAGATTTTGTGCCTTGGCTTGTGTTTGTTTATTTGCTGTAATTGTTTGCGCTGTGAAAATTAAAGAGAAAGTTAAAACCTTAATTGAAACTTGGCATAAGAGCGTAGAAACAATTTCGCAAAAACAAACCTGTATAAAAAATATTTTCCGAGATAATCGTCGTAGTCGTCGTCCGAAGAGTCATACTGACCCTTTGTGACCCTAATGATGATGACGTTCCAACCACTTCTATCCCGGGCATAGCGATGAACTGTGCATATGTTCATGCAATTAATCTCTTTTATTCCGATAGCCCATCAAACTTTTGGCCTACCACGTTTTCGGTGACCCTCAACATGACTTTTGACAATGATCTTCTCCAAGTTGTCACCTTCTCTGTTAGAAATGTGTCCAAAAAAATGCAACTTGTGCTGCATCTATTTTCTGGTGTAGGGTGACCTTCGCTCCAATTTGGTTCTTGAAAAAAAAAAGATTTATGAACTTTCCAGAATTTTCACAGCATCCCTCTCCAACAATAATAAAGATATGAATATTTAAAAAAGGGGAAAATCCACCAATATCTAAAGATCTTTATCGGAATATTTAAAAAACATTTTAAAATGTCCTTTTCTTTTTCTCATTTTTCTTAGGAGTTGGATGTGAGGTAGAGGTTAAGCAGTGTTCTTCTGAACCATGTTACAACGGAGGTACTTGTCAGGAAAGCCTCAATGTTCTTCATTGCCAATGTCCTCAAGGGTTTACCGGTGACTACTGCGAAGTAAACATAGACGAATGCAACTCAACGTTAGTACTTTCTTCCAAAAGTTTTACAGTCGCATACGATATAGGCCTCGTTGTGATACGCTGTGCAAAATAAAGATTTTGCTCTTAAAAATCCTACCATTTTAAAGGTTCTATTGTATTGGCATATTTTATCTTTAAAAATGCCTGTTACTCATCTCTTCTGTTATAAATCCTAATGAAAAGTAATTGAAAAGAACACTCTCTTTGGCCTACTATTTAAAGAAAAAATCCTTATAGTGAATATACATTTGATTGATAAAGACATACTGTTGTTATAATTCCTAGTTTCTATACGCAAGTTTAAATTTTTTTAACCGACATCGTTACAACAGCTATAATGTTTTTCAATTGCGTCATTTTTTGGTAGAGGCATACATAGGGTACCTTATAGTTCCTGCACCAAGCATCGTCGTCCAAGCTTCATCTAGTTTGTGATGCAATTATGTGACATGACTGTCGACTCAACAGGAAATTGTGAACAGTAGATGGCAGTTTAAGTAAATCTTAAATAGTGTCGGTAGAACCTGCTGTAGAATACCCTGCATTTCACAAGAGTTTCATTCAATGCCCTGTACAAAATAAACTTAGGATTTTTATTTCATATCGCCATCAGAGTAAATGCGTGTTTGTATATGACCTCTGTTCATATGTGGCCCTCTGTGGTAATTTGTAACTTTAATACTAATTTCAGGCCTTGTTTTAACAATGGAACATGTATTGATGAGGTGTCATTCTATCGCTGCATGTGCCTGACGGGATACACCGGCTCCCAATGTGAACAGATCATCTATCCTTGCCTCGATTCGCCATGTGACAATGGAGGAACCTGTTCACATTTAGCACCTGGCTCACACAGGTAATGTACTTTGGGCTTTGCATTAATTTGTACATACAGTTCATTTCTTGTACGAAGATAAATTTACAAATCAAAATTGTTGTTTAAAATTCATTTTAATTCGTCAGGCGTCTAATAAAACGGTATACAGATATGAATAAAAACTATTTAGCAAGGAGTCTTTACATATTATCAACGCCCCATAGACAGCTATTACATGTAGGAGAGAAGAATTATGTTATGAACTTACATTTTGTTTAATGTTCTGAAATTATAATGATAACATTGTGGGCACCGGTTTTGTAACGTTGTCCGGCAAATCTATAATGTTCAAGTCATGATGGACTTAATTATTTGTAAAATGTATCACTTTACAATATTAACATTGAATAATGGGGGGGGGGGGGGGGGGGGGGGGGGCTCAAATTAACCTTCGTATGTCATGATAGAAGCATTTTACACACATTCAACTCTCTCGATCCAGGAGGCAATTGGAAACTTCATGTGATGTGGGGGCATATTGCTTTTAATGCATTGTGTATGGATTATGGGTATACGGCATCTAACTGTATCTAGTTGGCTTAATAACTTCTAGTGCAGTTTGGAAGCTTCTTAAAACGTTATATCATAATGTGATGTACATGTATGTGCTTCAAAATCTGAATACTTTAACCGGTACTTTCTACTGTTTTTTTGTCTTTTCCGAAACTCCTTTTTAGGTGCTATTGTTCTGGAGGTTTTACCGGTGACAACTGCGAAACAAACATCAATGAATGCAGCAGCTTTCCCTGTTTCAATTATGATGAGTGTGTGGATGGACGTAATGGTTATTCGTGTGTCTGTAAGGCTGGTTTTAGTGGCATCCACTGCGAGGTTGATATTAATGAGTGTGCATCCTCACTCTGCCAGAATAATGCAATTTGTGTCGATCTTCCCGGTGACTTCTCTTGCGAATGCTTGCTTGGATACGAAGGGACATTTTGCGAGGTAATTTAGGTGTCTATACAGTTCGGCAGTACGATATTGTATGGGGTACTATATACTCGTTCCTCAATTAAAGTGTGAATATACGGCTACTTACTTTATTAGATTTAATTTAGACTTTTGTTCTCCTTCTGTGCTGTTGAGCTCGTTGATCAGCAATCTCTCACCAATGTCTTCAATCAGCAGCAGATATTTATCAAGTATGAGAACATAATATACTACAATTCTGTAAGGATCATTATGATGTTTTATGTTGTAAACAATATCTATTTCGTAACACAAATCCAAATTATTTTATGAGTCATTTCCTTATTCTTCTTCACTTTCTCTTAGACCGATATCGATGAGTGCATGCAACAGCCCTGTAAGAATGGAGCGACCTGTATGGATGAAGTAGATGCTTTTAGATGCATCTGTGCTCCAGGGTTTATCGGGACTATATGTCAGGTGGTAGAGGCCCCGCAGTGCTATCCGACGAATCCCTGTATGAACGGTGCCACGTGTTTGGGGAGAAGTGACAATGCGGAGTACACGTGCCATTGTTTGGCGGGATTTTTGGGAACCCTGTGTGAAGAGAACATTGATGAGTGCATCAGTAATCCGTGCCGAAATGAAGCAACATGCATTGATAAGGTAAGTGAGGTAGAGTCCATATAAATTAACAAAGGCCACAATATATATTACAAGTCATGCAGAGGCATATTTCTCCTCTACTAGTATTTTGAAATTGTTACCACTTTGTCTGATGGGTTATATTCACACTGCTCACTAACAGAAAACGGTAATACACTATTTAAAAAATATCCTTGTATAAAATATTCTAGATTACGCAGCTGAATGGCAGTTCACATCAAATTGACCATTCACCAAACTTAAAAATCTTTGGAAACGAATTAAATGAAATAGGATTCCCTCCATAGGCCAGAGAATTGTAACTTTCCATTAAATAGAACTAAAGTTAGAGGGAATTGCGTGTATAGTAAGCTATCAAATCTTTCATCTTGCTTCGGGGACGGGGTCTCAATTTCACAGTGGGGTTGGTTTGAACTATTTTCCTTCATTCTCTCTTTCTTTTATTTATATCAGAATTGATAATCATTTGGGTCATATATACACGTGGGTAGCCAAATCAGTAGTAATACTGCTCTTCTTTCGGGCCCTGCAATGACCATAACCCCAGCATTGCCAGGTACATATTTATTGCACCTGGGGCGATAGGTATCACATCGGCACCTTGTTCAAGGATGTGAGCACCGAGCAAGGATCAAACCATATGCTCCCATATTATCGTCATTACATAATTTATTGCAACATATTGTGATCCATTGTGTTAAATATAACAAGTCATTAGAGGATTCTCGGGAGGACTGGATAACCCACATTGGGGCCGTTTCGCTCAATATTATTAAACATCACAATTCTAAAATTCTTTCCCCAGTCCATAGTTTATTCTTTTCTCCATATGTAATGTATTACATTTCTCTGTTCATCCCTTGCTTCTAAGGTGAATGGATATGTTTGTCGCTGTCCACCAGGATACGACGGTGTCCTCTGTGATGAGAACTATGACGAATGCACACCAAACCAGTGCGAGAATAATGGTGTATGCATTGATCTTATCGATGGCTTTATTTGTGATTGTCCAGAAGGTACTTTCATATTTCTTAACCTGATCAAGCTTTAAAAAGTATATATTAATACTCATTTACTGTTGATATATGTTTTGTAACGAAGACACATAGATGGAGTTTGCGACAATAATACTATCATATATTCCTTACATTATCTACAAGAGCCAGAAGGAACTCTTTTCATTACAATTTGGCTTCTAATCAAGCTTTGCTCCGAATAGAACATAACTGTAGCCTTAGTGATTATTTTAGATGCATTACATTAAAGGAGAACTATTCCCATAGAATAATTGTAGTTTTTGTCTCACCTGCGTATCAAAAAGCGAGACATAGGCACCGCTTTTCCGATGACGGCAACAGCGGCGGCGGAAGCGGCGTCAACATCAAAAAATTAACCAAGGTTAAGTTTTTGAATTTTTAATACAATTATGAAAATATAAGTTCTTATTCAATGAAACTTGAATTAAAGGGATGTCAAGTATTTCCAATCATGTGAGGAGAATTTCAGGTCACAAATTCATGGTCAAAGGTCATTTTAGGTTAATAAACTTACACTATAACTTAAGTCATTCTTTGGGGTTAGTTCTCCCGTAAGTTCAAACTAAATTTAAAACAAAGAGTTTCAACTTTCGGGCTGCAATTTTTGTGATTAAAGCAAATAAATCAATCCGTAGTATCCTTCTATAAGCTTGAAGAGGCTGTAAAGTGTATGGATTCTACACCATGTATAGCTTATTTCTTTCTTTTTTCTTGTAGGCCGCATATTTGTATTATTTTACAACTTGTGACTGAGCCACTGCTCAATTCGAAGTTATGTCTTCAGTGGCGGATCCAAAATTATCGTACATTGGGCAACTATGTGATAAATTTACTACACAAATAAATTAAGTAGTCGATCTCTACCATTGTTTATAAACTGTTAGCCCCTCACCCCGTCATCTAAGTTTTACCTATTGATATTGATTTTCAAAAATGATTTACATGGGCAATACAAGCTTTAACATGGGCAACACAATTATGTCTCCTCACTTTTCTGCACACTCCTATTTTTTCGGGAAATATTGGCCTACAGACAAGTTTCATTTCGTTTAACTGAAATAAAGAACCATGATATGTATTAAATCTCTCAATATACAAACATTCCAGGGTTCGATGGAACTTTGTGTCAGGTCAACATCAATGAATGCGAGTCTACACCATGCGCACATGGAGGAACGTGTACAGATCATGAAGGATTCTTTACATGTGAATGTCTACTTGGCTACAGGTAATTCTTCAGAGGAACTTGACACTGTCTTACTCTCCGCCATTTCTTGTAAATGGGACATCATCAATATCATGAAATACCTGTAATAAATTATTTCATCATGTCAATTACTTGTTACACGCGTAATTATCTTAACTAAATACTAGTTATATCACAGACTACTGTCTATCTGGGAAAAAATCTATTCAACCTGCGCTGGGAATCGAACCACAAAAGGATTTCGAAAGTGAAGTATACTTGAAAATGAAATGACAATTTTTTTTTTTGGTTAAATGCTGTTGGGAAAAGTATGTATTAATCATTTAAGCTGCGAATTATAATAATAATAATAATAATAATAGTCTAATAGTCCACTCCAAATTTTATTAAACCGAAACGGAAATTCTTTTTGCCCAATTGATCGTGAGCCCGGCAGCCACTGAGCAGCGCCAGATCGACGTTGCTCTATCCCTTAATGTTGAACGCCAAACAAGGTAGCAACAACTCCCATCTTTTAACGTCTTTTGGTATGACGCGGCCGGGGTTCGGACCCACGACCTCCCGGTTGTGAGGCGGACGCTCTACTGACTGAGCCAACACTCCGGTATTTTGAGTGATTAATCGAAATTTACAACTTATCTATAAGGAAAAAACAAACAACTCAACCTGCGTTTGGAATTGAACCACAAAATGATTTCGAAAATGAGATATACTTGAAACTAAAATTAAAATTGTTGGTTATATGCTGTTATAGTAAAAAATATTCTTCGCAGAAAGACCCTGGTATAAACATTGAAAGGGTATGCAAGTAATTTCCAAGTCTTTATATTATTGAATAATTAATCGCAAATTTACAATTTGTCTTACAGCGGAGATATGTGTGAAATCAACATAAACGATTGTGCCGGAGATCCCTGTTACAATGGGGCTTATTGCCTGGATGGACTGAACAGCTTCACATGTACGTGTGCACCAGGATTTACTGGGGAGCTTTGTGAGAATGGTAAATATCGTGAATCATTGTTTTCAAACTGTTTTTTGACATTCTTCTATTGCGCATGTCCAATAGATTTTGTATATGTATGACATGTCAGATTTTGTAGTATTTCATGGTATTCCATCATGGAATTTTGTTAATTTTATGGAATGGCAATGCAGGACAGGAAAGTGGTCTACACCTCAACCATGTCAATGTGCCATACGACATTTGATGTTGGTCATCAACGGAAAAACAGATATTTATTGTAAAAGATAATCAAAGAATGTAAAAAAATATTAAACATGGATCGTTTTTTTAACAATTTGTACTGTTACCAGTGACATCGCTGCATAAACCGGTAAAAGTAACGCCAATTAATTTCTTTCCTGATTCTCTTCTCTTTTTCGAAACAGTTCTTCCGTCAAATTATGATTTCATCTTTGTTCAAAGTCGTCCTCTTCTTGTGCGTAGTGATATATTTTCCAGTGTACAACCACAACTGCTTACATTGTCCCTATGGTTACGGACAAGCTCCACGCCAGCATCTTTCAGCCTTTTTCATCTGGAGACAGCTTCAGCTATTCTGTTGATGGCGATTGAAAACCCTTGCTCAATAAGGGTAGAAACGGACAGGTATCTGCGGCCCATACTAAGAATTTTCTTTTAAAAATCCTATCCGATACGTACCATTCCTACTCAAAACCTTTCCTTGACCTAAACCTCCTACCAGATATCCCCAAATCGGGCACAATTGACTCTCCACCTGCTACTTACGGATTTTCTGACATAGGGATAGGGATAGTAATTTTCTGAGGAAGTGTATTTACCAGGGGACTTGTCCTGGTTATAATTTCCCTTTTTTGTGGGGGGGGGGGGGGGGGGGTTGGAGGGGTTGGAGGGGAGAATGCTTGGAGCAGGCTAGTTGTTACTGAATGAGTGAAATATTTCTGTAAAAATGTATCGTCTTTATTTGACTTGGTCATTGTGCGAAATGAACACCTTTCCCGATATTTATGGGATTCATGATGTGACGTATTATTCTTAAGCAACTTTGATACTTGAGAGTTATACAGAGTCTGTATTCCTTGGGGATTAAAAACTCTTGAAGTGAGTCCTAAATAATCGACATAATCAACATTTTCTTCTTTCATGAATTTTAAGTGATGTACCCGAGCAAATTTAATTGCTTAATCGTTCTGTAAAAATACCAGTGGATGAACTTATTACCTACCTATTATTTCAACAATAAGTATGATGTACGTACTTAACTGTATTTCTTGTTTACCTCGCTTGTGATACACTGCATAAAATGTCCTCCCTTAATTTGTGCCTTGTTTGCCCCATACAGCCTACTCATTGATACACATTCAAACCTCTGCGACAATGTGTGGCATCACATATTCTTTACATGGGACTTGGAGGCCACTGGAAATTGGGAGTTGCGAGTTAATGCTAGTCTTCTAGGAAGTGGAAGTCATGTACCTTCTATAACGCCTGAAGATATATTATCAGTCGGGGCATCGCAAATGGAAACTCAGGGTATGAGGACATTACGACTCTTCCAAACTTCTTGATTTTACTGAGATGATTATATATACGCAAAATTAATAATATTACTTATTATCACTATTATATTACTTTTATGGAAACTGTTGGGATTTTAAGGATTTTTTGAGGCATTACATAAGGCCAAGGTGTGTTATTGTTTAATTATAAAGCGTTACATATACATGTACTTATATGTATTGAGGCTTCCTTTTATATGCTTTTGGACCTTTTGTAATTTCGACTGATTTTTCCATACCTCACTCTTTTTGGTCATCTTCTTCTTTTACTACTACTTCTTCTTTCCCTTTTTCTTCTCATTTTTCATCCTCCTCTTTTTCTTCTGGTTACTTTTCTTTTCTTCTTCTTTTTCTTTATCCTCTTTTTTTATCTCCAGAAGTGGTGTTCGTAAGTAGCTACAATCTTTGGAGTACAGAAGTGAGTGATGACATCAGATCTGAACTGGCCACAAATTGCATAAGTGGATATTTTGGTGACCTCATATCCTGGACTGAATTCGTAGTGGAAGTCACTGAGTCCAATGAACTTTTATTGACATCCCCGTCGGTTTGTGACTGTAAGTAAAATAACAACAGTAATGGTAGTTCAAACGCAGAGAGAGAATGAAATGATACCACTAATAATAATAACAAGAACAACAAAATGATAATAACGGTTCTAATAATAAGATAAACATAATCATTCTAATGACAATAACAGCAACAATTCTATTTATAATACTAGCTGAATTTACGGTACAAGTTCCCATTTCCTGAAGAAACAAATAGTTATGGCTCAAGGTATGGGCACACAGAAGATTTGTTTCTGTTGGAGACCGGAGGAAAATTCAATGAATTATTGAACATTTATTGCATTTTATTTTTTATTTTTTTATTTGTGGGAACTGCCCCTACCCTAGCCCCCGCTGCGTACAGTCATGGTTCAGTGGCAAAGCAATGGCCTCGTAACTGTGAGGTCCAATGATCAAAACCTTGTCGATGTGCCATATTCGTGCCCTTTTGTGGTGCATTAATCCTCATTACTGTCATTTATGACTGAAGGGCGTAGGACCCCTAGTTAATAAGCATAATAGTATTCACATGCTTTAGCAGTCCTGCAAAACAAACACTGGCAATTTATTATTCAATAAAATCTGAGAATGTATACTATTATCTAGATCTATTAGGAATAAATCATTGTCAAAATAAATCCATAAATTGGGGTAAAAAAAAATTCCAATCATATGAGCGACAGTGTATTTTTATTATGACAGATTATATGCCTAACTAGCAGTTTATAGGGTTACAATTTCAGTAAGTTTTCTTTTATATTGGATCTATTAAACTTTACCCATTTTTGGTACTAAAATACCAACGAACCTATTGATTATAGGTGAAACAGTCAAATGAAAAAGATCACATGAAAAATACATAGATAAAAAATCTTGCTTTGGTGCTAGTCATCATTATTCTTTCTTCTTCTTCTTTTTCTTTTTCTTTTTCTTTTTCTTCCTCCTTTTTATGGACCTTTTTCCTCCTTTTGCAACGCAACTTATTTATCAAGAATTTTATCATCATGCACCTCCTACTAAAAATATAATAAAGCTATTTATGACCATGCATGCCTGTCTTGATATTAATCTCATGCTCTACAACATATACATTAACTTTAAAATACCTATCAGTATAAAGTTATCAATATGATGTATTCTAATTTTGCAGCCTTTGATGAATGTGTCAGCAACCCATGTAAATACGAGGGCACGTGCACCAATCTGCCGAATGAATTCACCTGTGCGTGCAGGGATGGCTTCACCGGCCCGACCTGTGAGGGGTTCGTTGATATCTGCCAGGAGAACTACTGCCAACATGGCGGGACCTGCTCAACCATCGAAGGACAATTAGTTTGTGCCTGTGAAGTAGGACTCTCCGGAGATCATTGCGAGTTCGAAATAAGTAAGAGTCGAAAAAAAAAATCAAATGAAATAGCACTTAAATTATCATATCGTGGCACATTTCCTTTGCGTTTCCAGCTTATAGGTATATGTCAATGTTTGACATTTAATACTAGACTTTTGTGTGGATGACCGTAGGCTAAGAAACAGTCATCCAATTTGGGCTATAAAATAAATCACGTTAAATTTGAATGCGTTATTGCTTTATCTCAAAATGAAATAAAACCATCTATCAAAGTTTGAAGGGCAAATGACCAAATATAAGTAGGGGAAATTAATATTAACTTTCAATAACATTGTATATCATTTACGATATCATCATATCATTATTATGAATAACTATGAAATAATAGATGTACATGTTTTTGGAAATAATGAATTCGAGCTTAAAGCGAATTCCCTACCATTGTCATCGCCTATATATATATATAATCTTGCTTTTCTTCACCGTGTGTGATATTTACAACATTTATTTTGAAGAGCATCAAGTACTTGAACTCTTTTTGTCAAGTGTGTCTTCTGTGAGCAGAATAGTACGAAATAGTACAGGGCGTCGGCTTTCTGCAAAAAAAAACATTTCAACCATTCAACGCAAAAAAGGTGACCGAGGGAATCATCATTGGCAACTGCGGTGAAACATGTGCATAAATGTGCTGTGAATCATAAGAGCGACTGTCACTATGAATATGACGGACAAAGAAAGAGGACAAAATATACAGTTCCTCAGGTAGACAAAGGAACATCCCTTCACTGCTATTATGTAAAAATGCGTAGAACAGGCGAATCACCTGTTCTACACATTTTTACATAATAGCAGTGAAGGATGTTCCTTTGTCTACCTGAGGGAATGTTTATTTTGTTCTCTTTCTTTGTCCGTCATGTTCATAGTAAGTATCAATAATTGCTTTCCTTTAATTTCTTAATATCGTCATAGTTGATGGAGGTTGGAATGGATGGAGTCCTTGGTCAGAGTGTCCTGTCACGTGCGGAGAGGGAGTCCATTCTAGGACTCGGAACTGTGACAACCCGGAACCACAAAATGGCGGCCAACCTTGCGAGGGAGAGGGGGAGCAGGAGGAGCCGTGTAACACGGAGGAATGCCCAGGTATGTGATCGAATTTTAATTTGATTTGCTTCTGAATTCAATACGTATACCAGACGTTTAACAAGTAAGCTTTATTTTGAAAGTAACACAGAATAATGTTAAGTTTATGTTATTACAGGCAAATAAAAATAATATAGTCTAAAAATGTCATTCTTATAATTTGTAATTATACCTTGCTTAGTGTTATACTTATAATACTTGGACTTAAAAGTTTTAAGTAGGGAATTTACACAATATTGTGGCTTTCCAAGTTTCCAACACTTGACTACTTTAAAGAAATTAATATGTTTTACCGGATCTAGGACTCCTACCCCCTGGACATCCGGCCCCGGAAACCCCCCCCCCCTAGTTAACTAACCCCTAGGACAACTACCCCCTAGGAAAACTACCTCCTAGGGCAATCACCCTCTAGGACGACTCCCCCCTGGACAACTATCCAAGGGGGTAGTTGTCTGGGGTAGTTGTCCTGGTGGGTAGTCGTCCTAGGGGGTAGTTGTCCTAGGGGGTAGTTGACTGGGGTGGTAATTCGGGGGTTGGATGTCCAGGGGTAGGTGTCCGGATACGACATTTTACATGTAATAGAAGTATTCATTAAATTCCACCTTTTTTTCCCCTGTGCTATAAGGTTGTATTGATCTGAAGCGCCCTTTAGAAGGATATTTGTACTGCAATGAAACCCCGACGCTCATCAATTGCACAGTGAAATGCCCAACTGGATACGAGCCCGAGAATTCCATGTTTGAGCGCGACGAGTACTCCTGCGGAGAGGACACGAACTACCGATGGAACCACCAGACGCCTGCGAATCCATATGCAAGACTGCCCAGTTGTGTTGGTAGGTTGAATAAACTTTGGCCGGAATTCACGAAAGTGGTTTATCTACTAGAGATGTGCCGCTCTTATGGGTCACTTTTCACAAAAGAGGGCCTAAATATGGGTCCCATTTTTAACAAAAATACCATTAAAAATGGGTCCGTTTTTTTAATTTGTTCGGGTGTTTGCAATGCCATGTCATGCAAACATCCCCAAACCACGCGAAAATTTTAGAAAATGGGCCTTATTTCAAGAAAGGTACCCCTAATGACCCTTTAAACTGGGTAGGGGTTTCGAGGCTTGAGCGGCACACCCCCATCCAAACTAAATCTGAGTACACCCCCCCCCCCCCCTCCCAGGTGCGGATCCGGCTGGCTAAGTCGCCGCTAAATATTCCCTCAAAAATTGGACCAACAAAAAAGTGCTCTCACCTCCCCCCCCCCCCCCCCGCTTGTTCATCGGCTGGCTGAGTCGCTGCTGAATATTTCATCCAAAATTGGACCCCCCCCCCCACCCCCTCCGCTTATTCACCGGCTGGCTGAGTCGCCGCTAAATATTTCCTCCAAAATTGGACCCCCCCCCCCCGCTTATTTTCCGTCTGGCTATTAAAGTCGCCGCTAAATATTTTCTCACGGATTGGGGCTCCCCCTCTTCCCGCTGGCTGGATCCGCCCCTGGTACCCCCCCCCCCCCCCCCCCCTGGAGTAAAAAGTTTTGTCGGGAAGACCTGTAGACATTTAGGTTTTTAGGTTGATTTCAAAGTTTCTAGCTACACATAAATTCTTTTTTTTTTCGATGACTGGTATACCCGCCCCCCCCCCCTCCACTCAGAGGTCGGAATGACCGCATGCGTGTTGCCAAAATGTCCGGTAAAGGGGTACTTTTCGTGCGACAAAGTCCGGCCCGAGAATTGTAAAAAAAAGGGGTGTATTTGACTTTTCACCCGGAGATTTCTTTAAAAAGGGGGTGTTTTTCTTTTTTTCTCTCATCTCTTTGGACTTCTGAGAAATTATTCCGAATTTAGGGGGGTACATTGAGCATTTTTCCTGATTTAGGGGGGTCTCCAAGGCAGGAAAAGCACGCGAAAAGCCCGCGAAAGGGGGGTTCGGAAATGTTGGCAGTCCTCAGATAGGGGGTGCTTTCAAAAAAAGGGTACGAGCATATGCGTACCCTAAATAACACTGAGTGGGGGGGGGGGGGGGGGCGGGCTGGTATACTTTAAGTTCAGCGGGAGTTTTATACCATTGTTTAGACCGTAGGTCATGATATAAACCGCTGTTGCGATTCCGACTCAAAGAAAACACTATCTTTAAATTTTCGTTAAAAGATGGAGAAAACTGCCACACCTTAGTTTAGTTAGATAGTAAATTAATTAGTTGATTTTGAAATAAAAATATAGGAGTTTGAAAAGATCAATTACTTTATTCGGATGATAAAAGGAGCAATATTCTCGTCTTTTTTCGAAGAGAAGCTTGGTGTTTAACAAAATTTACCGACAAGTCAGCTGAAAAGATTTTAAGAAGAAAAAGTCGATGGGTTTCTCAGACTTTCAAAGCTGCTGACGAGTGTAAAACCTAATCACCATGTTCATGATATTCTCATATATGACGACAGATGTTTCTTTTCCAACGATTTTTTTATCCCATCGATTTACTGACAGCCCATACAAATACCATTACTTGGTTGAAACTTCAAGATAATTTTCCATAAAATAACACAGAGTTGCAGAAAGCTACGGAAGCGAATGGTTTCTCTAGCGTGGACTACCCCGCAGCTCTTTGCGAATCTTCGGCAGAAAAGAAAACTATTGAAGATGGGTTTAGAAATCAACTTCTTGGACATGAGGAGGAATTTGAGTGTTTGAGTCTTGGGACCTGTCAGATTGAAAGTGTAAAAGTAAGGAAAGGCGTTCTTTTCACAATGTTTACACTTTTTTCTTCTCATTTATGCACACCTGCATAGTTCTTCTAAAGAATTTCTCCTGAGTACGGTTTTGTGATTACTATTTGCATTAATTTTCCAGTATTATAATGCCATGACAATATCATTTCATCATGGCATTTAATTTGCACAATCATGTTAGTTGTGTATTTATAGTTCGTAATGTAGAAAACTCATCGGATTTCTTTGGAGTTTACCCTACTGAGCATATGTACTCTGTTGTGCTAAATGATTTACACCTTTGGCAATAATTAACAATTACAACTGCAGCTCAATTTTTAGCAAGTAAATTACCTTTTCCATTGGTTTTTTCTGTCACTCTCTCTTTACCTCTCTATAGAAAGTTCCATATACCATTCTATTTTGGAAAACAAATTTTCCAAAACGATATTTTCATCACTTTGAAAGTATTCCAGTGTATTAGCAAAAATTTAAATTATGCCTAATTATACTTTTTCGGATCAATTGTTTCCTTTCTATTGACCTATCGTATATAATTATGACCCACAGTTGAATACGTCCAGTGAATATCAAAAACAAACCTTTAATCAAACCAAGGGGTTGCCGGTAACTCTTTGATCAAACGTTTGCTTTTGGAATGTCTCTCTACAACCTTCCCCAAAATAATGACAGGTCTAATAGCGTGTAAACCCAAGTGTATCATGACACTTTAACTTTAGCAAATACGGTGGGGATCAAAGTGCTATTTTTCTTTATACCCCCAACCTCTAGGTAGTGAAATGTGAGTCCGTCGCTGTCAGCGAACGGGCGAGGAGGGCGGCAGACATGCTTGACACTGGGGCTACTGTCATGGTTACCACGCTACAGAATCTAACACGTGAGCAAAATAAATGTGTATTTGTTGATTTAATTTGTTTGTATATACATTATTTAAATGCCAGTCCTGTCACAATAAATGTCAGTTCAAAAGCGCTCGAAATTAAGCCATGAGCCGTACAAGTTCATGTCCTTGTTATCCCGGTTATAGAATGAGGCAAAATGAATTAATTTGGTGAAAGATTTCGTAATAACAAAAATATGATATCGACTTCTCCTTTGTTGGAAATAACGGTAATTCTACAATTATACAGAATTTGTCATGAAATGGAAACGTCATTGTCCTGCGTGAAGGCATGGTACGTGTAATTTATTCGTTAAATGCTCACGGTATCATAATTTATTTTATTTTTATACAGGCGTATATTAATACTGTACATACGCCATTAAAGCACTCCTATACCCAACATTCAATATGGTATATTCCTAACATTCAATACACTCTTGACAATTTTTAAAATGTAATTTAATCATATTGATCTAGCGTGAGAGATTGGTTCGTGCCACACGCTATAGCAGCAACTGCAGCAAATACCAATTTCCTTCAATAACCCAATTCATAATTTCAATTCTTAGCTAATCACCTTTCTTAACCCTAACCCCAACCCAAACCAAAAGCCAAACTGTAACCCTGGCCGTAGCCCAAGACGAAATAAAGCCCGGAGTCATCGTCACGGGAGCAACGATCGGTCACCGGCAGACTCTGCGCATTAATTTGTATCAGATATTCCTGAAAACAAATGTAATCAAACTTTAAATTCAGGTTTCCTCTTTTTTAATTTCACAGACGGGGATGATCCCGAATCGCAGCCTTTGGGTTCCTTCCTGGAAACCTTTAACAGGCTGGTCCAGCAGGATTATTTGGTCCTAACCGTTGATGATCAGGTCCTAGAACCAAACAAGAGTTCTGTCTATCTGGACGCTAATCAGAAGTGTCTACCAGGGTCGTTTAGTGCAATTCAGTTTGGATATTGTGGTAATTAATATTATTTCGTTCATTGTCCTGCTCATTGGGAGGGAGGAATCGTATGCGAGCAGTATTTAAAGGTAAAGACCAGTTATGGTCATGCGATTGCATTGTGAAAGAAACATTGTGGAATCGATCAGAAAGGGTTGATCATCTAGCATCTAGCATCTGCAAGGTTCTGGAATCATCAAAATGATAAGAAATTTGGTCCATTCTTCGTAAAGTTACAAGCACTATACATAGAAAGATGTATATGGGACTACCCTATATCTCTCACAGACCATGAGAGAAACAAATTTACCAAATATATGAATTAGTAGGCGGTTTCCCGGCAAATTTTTTATCATCATGTATTAGTCAAAACATATTCTTTCACATGATTGGTAATGAGAGCTTCCATTTCATTTTTTGAAATTGGGACGTTTCCAATACTGGTCTTTACCTTTAAGTCTTAAAACTGCAAGATTGTTTTGGTCATGCTAACTTCAGTTAGAATAATATCTTCTTCTTTTTGGCCATTATCTTTGTATTTTCCCTACATCTTCATAGGTGAGGGAGATTTAGAAATGTGTCTAGTACAGGGGGTTATCTAATGTCCCTCTTCCCTCTTTCAGATTATATCGTTCTTCAAACGATTAAAATTCCTACGGGTTCAAATCGGTCACTTGCTCCAAATACGCTTGCTCCTTCGCCAATGTTGAATTCTTCAGAACCCAACAATACTACCCCTTATCCTAAACCTAACCTTACACCCTAAATGCAATCCTCACCCCTACAGCCATATTCCTTCGACAAAAGAAAGCCCAGAGCAACTCTCGCAAGAGCAAAATATGCCTGGTCACCTCTGTGTATACTTTGCCAATTATAATTACGTTCCTGTATCTTTTGTTCCACGTCCCTATGTTCTCATAGCAGGACTATTGATTATAGGGTTTTAGAATCAGATGTGAATGACGTTTTAGATGTTTTGATCAGATTTCAATGGGGGGAGGCATGCAACCGTCTGCCCCTTATACAAAAATGTGCAACGAACTGAATTAAACTTACTTGAATTGAATTGAAATGGTGTTTATGAAAAAAGACACATCGCAGCTCAAGAGCTGAATAACATGAAATCTACATATATCTTACATAGAAATACGGATTAAAGTACATTTTGATAAACAATGTGACATACGGGTACATGTACATATATATTAAAAAAAAAATTATGTCCAACATAATTTTATGAAACAAAATTTGCAAAGTGATTAACAAAAATACGGGAGAAAATAGGAGGGTTGTACGGCTCATGTCGTGAACTGATGATGGGTATTCGAACGTTGACATTAAAACTAAAAATCAAAGTGCACCCTGAAATGATGTTTCAATATCACAAAATAGAAGTTCATACTTTCCCCTAATTGTTATATCATTTTATAAATAATGCGATCATGATGATTTAATAGTTCATTCATGTGACTTTCACACCTTTGGTTGAGGGTTGGAATCCGGGCCCGGCACTAACTTCGTTTGGCAAGACATTATTCCATATTTGCCACTCTCTTCCCAGGTGTAAATGAGTAGTTTCAACTATTAAGTGGGGCAATAATAATTGCGTTACCTTCAGGAGGAACAGCGTTGATTTTGGTAAGGCTTCCATGGGTAAACACATTTTTTAAAATTTATTATTCTTTAAAAGTTCCCTGTGGACCGGGAACATATTACTCCATTCTACCAGACGACGTTGAGTACGATTGCAACCCATGTCCGCTAAACACATATCAAGAAGACTCTGGACAGACCGAATGCATCCCTTGCCCGAATGATACCGTGACAGCGGAGCCCTTCTCATCCAATATCTCAGATTGCTTTGGTGAGCTGTCCTACCAAATTTATACCATATCTGCTCAGTAACGCTAAAGCTGATTTTTGTGAAGACGTGATCTCTTAAAATGCTTAATTTAGGAGTTAGACTATACCCAAAATCTTGATAAAATATAATTGGTTTGAAATAATTATTCATATCCAGGGATGCTGTAAAGTTTTATCAGCGGGTTAGTGTGACTATCTGATATAATGGAAAAAAAGAGGTCTACGAGAGATATATCTTTACCACACTTTCTCCTTTTTATATATTCACTCTCTCCTCCCCCTTTCGCTCTCTCTCTCTCTCTCTCTCTCTCTCTCTCTCTCACTCACTCCCTTCCTTTATCTCTCCCCCTCACTTTCTTTCTATATCACTCTCTCCCTCACTTTCAATCTTTATCTCTATCTCCCTCACTTTCAATCTTTATCTCTATCTTCCTCACTTTCTTTCTCTGTTTCTCTCCCCCTCACTTTCTTTCTATATCACTCTCTCCCTCACTTTCAATCTTTATCTCTATCTCCCTCACTTTCAATCTTTATCTCTATCTTCCTCACTTTCTTTCTCTGTTTCTCTCCCCCTCACATTCTCTCTCTATCTCTCTCCCTCACTTTCTTTCTCTACCACTCTCCCTCTCTATACACTATCTGCCTTCTCTTATATCTTACATTCAATAAGGGGCTACCCATACCCTATCTGCTCGTGGCAATTCCATAATTCTATCAAACCATATTATGTTCATGAAAATGTATGATGAAAAAATAAAAAAAGATGCAGAAACCAATAAATCAAATCAAATCAAATCAAATAAGTATTTAGAATAAGTATCCTACTTTTCGGCACGTTATTACATTTTATTTACAGATTATGATTGAATAATAAAGCTGCTGGAATATTTCCTCTCTTGAAACACCAGTAAAGCATTTGGGACTATAATTAATCTCCTCTCTTCACTTAATCAGACATTTTCTGTTTCCGTTGTACGTGTTTTTATTTATAAATAGTTCCAGAAGCTATTCCACCAGTTACACCAGTTACACCAGAACCAGGTTTAGAGGAGAGAACTAAGATCATAATCTCTGTGACAAGTTTCATAGCAGGACTTCTGGTGTTTGCAGTTGCTATAGTATGGTACTCCATGTGGCACAGGTGAGATGAGTGTGCGTGTGTGTGTGTGTGTGTGTGTGTGTGCGCGCGTGCGTGTGTGTGTTTACTCAAAGATCGTGGACTTTATAACATTTAAACAGAGAGAAATTTAGCAAATCTCGATTTTTAGTTTGCAATTTTCAAAATTTTAAAGTAACATGTCAGCACAAAATTAATGAAATACGTTTGTTTTTATGCTACTTTCAAAGCTCCTATGTTCGTTAAATAGCCTATATACAGTTAACAATTATTAGATAATTCATACCCCTTGTAAATTTGATGTGTTTTGTGTTTTTCACAACTCATGAATGAGAGGTCGATTTAGGGCCTGTGTTGAATCCTTTGAGATGTCATATTGACAAATTCGAATTCTCAAGAAATTTTAATTGGGCCAAATCAAGTTTTTCACATACTTCAACAATTACAAATCTTGTTAAGGGTATATATGACTAAATTATTTGTAACTATATATTTGATATTTCACGTTCTCATTACATGACTGAAAAGTAACAGTAAACAAGGAGGAAAGGGGGAGGGGAATAAATGTAGACAGGGGAGAGAGAGAGAGGAGTAGAAGATTAAGTGACAGGTAGAGAAATTAGAACGTGAGAAAGGACAGTAAAATGGAGAGATGGTAGTGGTTATAGGTGAGAATATGAGGATTGTTCTCTATTCATATTAGTGAAAATGTTTCGGCAAAGCGACTTGTCAAATCAGTATGCAGGTCTCGTAATAGAAATGATAGTCTCATGCAAATGTGAAAAGCAGAATCATTTGTATTGCCATCATCTGGCTTCCAAAAAGAAAATCGTCGCTCTTGCATCAAGCACCGCTTGAATAATTTTTCTGTATGATCAGTAAAATCAATAAACATTCTCTTAACTCTTTTTAATTTTTTTCTTCAGACGAAGGACCAAGAATGTTCGCATCTCAACAGACGAAGCTAACTCTCTAGCTCATGATTCTGATGCTGTACAACTGGTTGAACTGCGTGGAGAGGCTTCTGAAAACCCTACTCCTAAATGAAGAAATTGAAAAAGGAAAATGAAAATGGTGGCCTTTTGCCCTCTCTGTTCTTTGATCCAAGGCATACTCCATGAGGAAGATGAGTTACGTAGTTCCTGTTAATACTCAGATCAGGAGGAATACATGCCTTCTCTGTTGAATTTCATAGTTCTGAATTAATTTTTCGAAATCCCCGCATTCATTTTAAACAAATCAAAGCTATAGTACCCTTAGAAATCTTCAAAACTTAACTATGTTACCTTTAAATTAGCGCTGTACATTGAATTACCGGTAGGAGAATATTTTCATTACGGATACTATATTTTCTAAACATTCACTTTGCAAATCATCATTTAAGAAATTCTTCCATATAAGAAGTCGATATACTTTTTTTTAAAAATTAGAATCTGCGATCTTTGCAGTACTCCACCGTGACAAGTGTGTTAGATTAATGAGTTCATTATATATCTGTTTGTAGAGACATTGCGTCTGTCCTTCACTAATTCATGAAAGTGTGGGGTTTGAAGAGGAGAAATTTTTTTAAGGACTATTAAAAAGAATACGCAGATTATCTGACCTTTAATCAGCGCTGGACGTTGGATTACCGGTAGGATTTTTTTTTTCATAGAATAGAATAGAATAGAATTTATTGACTCATTCGACCCCCTTCTGGGGTATGAGAGTACAACACATGTACATGTCATGTCATTACGGATCCTCTATTTTCTTAACATTCTCTTTTGGAAATTATAATTTAAGGCATTCTTCTATAGTCGTTATATTTTTTTCTTAAGGAAGACAAAGTTTTGGGAAATTTGAAAATTGGGTGGATAGTGATTCTTACAACTTTGATATATTTGGATGCCCCTGTGAATGTATTATAAGCACTAGAAACTTTAGCCCCTAAAACACTTCTGCTTTAGAGAAAAATTGAATTAAAAAATTTACCGGTGCTCCCGGTAAATTTTGATAAATTTCAAATAGCGCCTACTGCCATACAGTGGTAGCTGCGACCATGAAAATTTCAGAATATGTAGTTGTGATATACAATTTTCAAACGGGAATAGCTAATCGGTCGATCTTAGTCATGAAACATTGTTTTATAGCTTAATTAATATATCGACCTTGAGAGGGAGCTCCTTATGCAACATAAGGAGTTTATTATTTACAATTTCATAACTTTAAACTCGATTTCAACCACGACAACTTTCACTGAATATATTTTAGGATCGCATAAGCTTCCAATATGTTCATTTGAACCAAATTCATGAACCCATACCAAAACTTTGTATTACCTTTAAAATAAGAATATGCGATCTAATGCAGTACTCCACCTGCCATGACAAGTGTGTTATGTCTTTTTTGCTCATATCTGTCTGTAGGTACATTGCGTTTGTCTTTCACTGTATATATATTATTCATAAAAGTGTGGGAAAATAGGTTTGAAAATGATAAAAAATGAATAAGGAATATCAAGAAGGATACGCGGTTCAACAAGAATGTGATGATAGCATTATATTACATGCTCTCAGTTAATGATGTATTGTGTGCATCTTCACCACTCGCTTGTATAATACAGCTTTCTTTATTATTTTCGCATCAAAGAGGTGATCCGGACGTTGTATATGGGCAAACTATTTGTATAAAGTTTAGGGCTGTTAAATGTCTCCTGTGTCCCTCAAAATAAAAATATAATTCTTGAAAGGAACTTGGCTATATCTTAAAGACTCGGGTAACTCCATGACCTAGATACATTTCAAATTGAAATTAGATACTGCATCCTAACTCGGAAAGCACCTGAGAGTATGGGCCATTGTTAAATAAACAATTAAAAAATATATTTAATCAGGTTCCATGCTTATTGAAATGACACGTCTTATAATTTTCACTTACTCCCATACGTTTACAAGGCTTTGTGAACAACAAGTTACAACAACAGCATTATCTTTAAAACATTATCATCGCATTGAAAACGCAGACAAGTATACAATGTAGTTAGACTTACAAATCGTATTCTATATGGTTTTATTTTGGTATTGTAAGCTATAATTATGCATAATCTAGTAGTCCGGCTGTGGGCAGAAACGAAATTTAAAACAATAACGTCTTTGATATATAGAATCAACATTTTCGTAGTGGATCTTTGTGCCAGCAGGAGACAAGCTGACACTGATTATCATTCGTTTTGTTTACATTTATATTACTCACTATTTCAAATTTGAAATGAATTTTGCTTGTGAACAGTTTCTTTGCTGAATCGTAATGTATTCGATGTATAGCTCTTCCTATAAATTGCTACATGTATTGTTATATATATTTTTATTAATCTGTCTTTCATGTCCTAGTCAGTGGTCAATTAAGAATTTTAACGACGATAAGAAAATGATTATGATATATTACATGGGAGGCACACGAACACAAATTGCTGCACTTTTGTTCTTGTTGCTGTTGTTTTTGTTGTACTCAGTATTATTATAAGTCAGTCTAGTCAGACTTGGATTTGCCAGAAGTGTATCCCCGTGCCCCTAGATCTGCCAATGTTTTATTCATATGTGTGTGGCGCAATTAAAAACATAACAATAACAATATAACGTACTTGTATTGCGCCATCTAATCTACATGATCTAGTTAAACTATATCAGATTGTTTACAATATTATGTATGAATGCTTGTGTGTGCGAGAGAGAAAGATAGTGAGAGAGAGAGAGAGAGAGAGAGAGAGAGAGGGGGGAGGGATGGAGGGAGAGAGAGAGCGGGAGAGAGAGAGAGAGCTAGAGAAGGGGGGGGGGGGAGCGACCGAGTTGCGGGACCGAATTAAAGGAGAGAAGGGGGGGGGGGTAGGTGGGTAAGAAAGTGCAGCGCTATCAAAAGAGACTGACGTGAATACAATTGAGAGAGAGAGAGGGAGGGAGAAAAGGTGTGTGAGAGAGAGAGAAAGAGAGAGAGAGAGAGAGAGAGAGAGAGGGAGATAGAGAGAGGTCGAACTGTAAATACTGATTTGGAGCTGTTGGATCGGATTTTGATCAAATGTAATTAAGAATATACAATTAAATTGTGGATAGGAGTACATAGACAAACAAATATAGAGGATAAATTAAAAGATGATCAACAGATAACAAGAAAAAAAAGATGAACAATTGAAATAAATCAATGCATAAATAATTAGATTAAAACATAAACAAATAGTTTAAAGAACCTAATTAACACTAAATTAATAAAAAAGATAGATAGATATACAGATAAATGAATAAAAAATTAACAACATTTGATTAATAAATTTAAAACAAATGAATTAATGAGATTAAAGTTTGACAGCGCACGTGTGACCATCCTGACACACCTCCGCCACACCCCCAAAAAGAAATAAGCTCCGCAGTGCACACGTGTACGGCAGCCTAGCTGCGCGCAGTACGTACTGTAACAAATCAGGGTTTTAGTATTGGACGAAGGTTAAGCATTTTCTGTTGTACGAGCATGCGCTATAGCAATATGGTGCATCGTTGATTTAGCAATTACCAAACTGAAGGAAAATGAGCATAAATTACATATTTTGATCATGTTGGTGCAATTATCATGTTTCTTTTGGGGATATTACTTGTATAGTAGTGATCTAATCAGGAATAAGGGGTTATACTGAAGATTATATGTGAAGATTTTATGGGATTAGCAGAAATATTGTGTTGAAGTGTTGTTTTACTAACGAGGACATAATTGTTCTTTTACACGTTTATGTATAGGGAAATTGTTACGATGGTCAGGGTTGTGCATCTAGGGCTTTCCACTGCACTGTATCCGATACAGGCCAGCCTCACCGAGGCTGGCCTGATAGTTGGCCTGATAGTTGGCCTGGCCTAAGCCTCTAAGCTAAGTCTCACATAGTTTGCACTGTATTGAGTTTACCCGATTGTTGAATAGATCGCAATAAAGACTTTCAACCTACACATCATGATTGGTTTGATTTCTTGGAGCAGTGAAACCAAGGGACGAGAACCTGTGACAAGTGTTGACAAGGGAAATTGATTGTTCGAAGGATGCTCAATTGATTGATGCTGTGAACGAGACGTTTAGGTGACCGATTGTAGTCGATGGACGAATGATTGTTGAGATACGTGTGAGCAGTTAATGACTCCAGCCATTAAGCTACGGGCATATATTTTGTCCAAACGAACGACGGGGAGCGCCAGGCCGGACACGGGCATCCTGACAAATACTCCGTGTCAAGCCAAGGTGGCAAAATCGTGTCCGTTACACATGGTGTCAGAAGTGGGATTGCTGATGGCGTGGAGTGGTCGAACTGACGGATCTAGTAGGGGACGACGGCAGTAGCACTGACGGAGCTGGGGGACCATGGGCAGTAAGTCTGACGGCGTCACAAGCTGGTAGAGCTGACGGAGCTGGGGGACGACAGGCAGTAAGACTGACGACGTCACAGCTGGTTGAGCTGGGGGACGACGGGCAGTAGGTCTGACGATGTCACAAGCTGGTAGAGCTGACGGAGCTGGGGGACGACGGGCAGAAGGCCTGACGGCGTCACAAGCTGGTAGAGCTGACGGAGCTGGGGGACGACGAAGGGCAGTAGGTCGTACGGCGTCACAGCTGGTCGAGCTGATAAAGCTTGGGGGCGACGTGCAGTGAGACTGCCGCGTCACAGCTGGTCGAGCTGAAGGAGCTTGGGGACAACGGGCAGTATAAGACTGACTGCGTCACAGCTGGTCGAGCTGACGGAGCTTGGGGACGACGGGAGGTAGCATTGACGGTACGTGTTGCAGCTGGTCGAGCTGACGGAAGTGTAGAACGATAATGGAGAGAAAGAACAATGAGCCCAGGGGTGCCTAGAAGGACAGGAAACGAACTAACTTTTGAACAGTTGAACACTTTTGGAAAGAGCCATTTTGAACTGTCAGAAAAGACTTGGATTTTAGTTTTGAATTGTTTTGATAACATGTTATGTTTTGTTGTTGTTGCATAAGTTATAGATAAGTTAGCTTGGGGACCAAGCTTGGGAGGGAAGGGAATCGTGTAACAAATCAGGGTTTTAGTATTGGACGAAGGTTAAGCATTTTCTGTTGTACGAGCATGCGCTATAGCAATATGGTGCATCGTTGATTTAGCAATTACCAAACTGAAGGAAAATGAGCATAAATTACATATTTTGATCATGTTGGTGCAATTATCATGTTTCTTTTGGGGATATTACTTGTATAGTAGTGATCTAATCAGGAATAAGGGGTTATACTGAAGATTATATGTGAAGATTTTATGGGATTAGCAGAAATATTGTGTTGAAGTGTTGTTTTACTAACGAGGACATAATTGTTCTTTTACACGTTTATGTATAGGGAAATTGTTACGATGGTCAGGGTTGTGCATCTAGGGCTTTCCACTGCACTGTATCCGATACAGGCCAGCCTCACCGAGGCTGGCCTGATAGTTGGCCTGATAGTTGGCCTGGCCTAAGCCTCTAGTCTAAGCTAAGTCTCACATAGTTTGCACTGTATTGAGTTTACCCGATTGTTGAATAGATCGCAATAAAGACTTTCAACCTACACATCATGATTGGTTTGATTTCTTGGAGCAGTGAAACCAAGGGACGAGAACCTGTGACAAGTGTTGACAAGGGAAATTGATTGTTCGAAGGATGCTCAATTGATTGATGCTGTGAACGAGACGTTTAGGTGACCGATTGTAGTCGATGGACGAATGATTGTTGAGATACGTGTGAGCAGTTAATGACTCCAGCCATTAAGCTACGGGCATATATTTTGTCCAAACGAACGACGGGGAGCGCCAGGCCGGACACGGGCATCCTGACAAATACTCCGTGTCAAGCCAAGGTGGCAAAATCGTGTCCGCTACAGTACACACAATGGTCAAAGGTTATTTTTGCACATTCCTAACAACACAACCTGTGGATCTGGAACGGAGCTGAGCTGTGTGATCATCCAAACTTGAATTTACGTGAGTATTACATCTTTTATTAACACTCAATCACCGTAATAGTGACAACAATTGCTAACATACTTGAATCCAATCCTTTGCGAGTTTTTTAAAAGCACAACATTTCATGTGATGAGCAGTTAATTAGCTGTTGTATACGAAACTCGCACATCAACATTTTTGCTCCGGAGTCCGGAGTCAAGACCTTGCCCGTGAAGCGACCGCGACAGTAGTGCTCGGTAGAGCGAGCTTGGCGGGTATGCTGCCCGCACATCAACTGCCATTGATTCAATCAAGGACGTATGTGACAATTTATTGTGTGGGTTGTGGAGTGGTGCGCTTCGTATACATTATTGATTGTAAATTGAAACTGAAATGCCACAGTACTCAGTAGATCTGCATGTACATCATGCTTAGCAGCCATGATGTAGGTCTAGATCTAGTCACATTTTCATTGTTGACACTGAATACTGATGTTTCCACGGCTACCACCAGTGTAGATCTAAAGTAATAAAAATGAACCTCTCAGTCTCACCAATATGAATATAAATTTAAAAAACAAATCATCCCTAAACCACTTCCGAACTCAAATAAATCCTCTTTCCAGAGAGAATATACAACTAATTACAAGACCTTGCGTGCTGGACAGGTTCTGTATCCGGAGTCTCTGGACAGTCGATTTAAAATAGAAATTTAAAGAAGTTTTCAAGCAATAATTCATAAATCTTCTAAGACTTATGTTTGACACAGAAATTCATGTTAGTTAGTAATATTTGATGAATATTTTCTGTTAAATCCTAAGGTGACAGACAAGTTTGTCTATGGACTAACTGACAACCCCCATCGAATACTAAAGTCTAGGAGTTTGCTTCTACCGGTAAATGTAAAAATAACAACAAAAATGACACCAATGAGACTGACAAAAACAAAAATTAATTTCCCAGAAGGGCACCAAATTTATTTGTTTTGGGGGTCGTTGTAGGGTCGATTTAGGGGTACAATGTATGATTAGATTTGGAGTATAACAGGCTGTTACTTCATTAGCTGTGACATTGAAACAGTTTTTCCATTTTGATTTTGTATTGAAATTCTTTATATTAAAAAAAAACCCACTTTTATATTTTTCAGAGCGTAAAGTTCTTGCATTCTTGCTGTACCAGCCCTCAAGATGTCACCTGTTATAGCTCGTCTGGTGGAATGTGTGCCAAATTTTTCAGAAGGACAAACCAAGGAGGTATGTGGCACTATATTATTTTCTTTAAAGCCCCACTGCACTGCTTATAGACTTGTGCCCTCTATGTAGCAAACAATGCCTAATCAGTGCATGTTGGTCCCCCACGATCCCCTTTTTCCTAAGTTAATTGAGAGCTGATTTGATGAGATAACCTCCTGTCAGTGACCTTGCAGGGAGGTCTAACCCCTCTTGGCAAAACTAGTACAGACAGGCTTTAATCCTCGTATGTGGAGATTTTTTCATCGAGTGGATAAGTCACCACACTCTGGATGACAAGGTAAAGAGTATAGACTTGCAGTTGCTCTGTAGACAGCAGAAATACAGTCAAACCTGCTTCATAGCGACCACTTGTATAGAAGGACCACCTGCCTTCAAAAAACACATTTTTGTTTCCCTTGAAAATGGTTTCTCATTGAAGCATGTACTAAAGGAACTTGTCCATAAAGACCACTTTTCTTGTTTCCCTTGGGTGGCCTTTATAGACAGGTTTCACTGTACATATAATGTATGTCTGTAGTTTGAATGTAGTATGCTGGCGTTGAACCCCTGCCTTCAGAGCAAAGTATTTTTTGATGATTGTTCCATTTTAAAATTTGCATTCACTCCTAGGCTTAGTTTACAACACATGAGTTTGTGATCAATTGGAAATTGAGAATGAAGATCTGATTGGCTAATGGTCAGCCTTTTGACCAATATGTGCATTCAACAAAGAATTTTTTTTTTGCAATTCATCGCAAACCTTTGTCTTGTGCGGCCCTGTTTCATAACACTTGATACATAACGAGTTGCAGCTTTTGTAAAAGGCTACTGACAAAATGGGATTCGACAGGTTTGCAGTTCAAGTCCCGTCGAGGCTTAATGTCCTTTAGGAAGGCATACATTTGCCACTCTCCACCCAGGTGTTGAATGGGTACCTGGTAGGATGCAAATGTTAATGTGATTGGCATGTGTGCTTTTGTAAAATGGTGCCTGGCCCTAGCACTCTCAAGTGTGGATATGGAATCGAATCCCATGACCAGGGTAATAAATATTACAATTAAAGCTCTTAGAAACATAGTATTAAGCGTTGTAAAAATTATGATTATTATACTGAAACGGAGCCCTGATTGGATTTGTTTCTTCTTCAGATCATTGATGCCATCAGCAGTGCCGTAGCCCAGACCCCGGGATGTCAGCTCCTAGATGTAGATCCTGGTCCTTCCACCAACCGTACGGTCTACACCTTCGTGGGCTCACCTGCGTCTGTCGTAGAGGGCGCTCTCAACATGGCGCGGGTTGCTAGGAGTCTGATTGACATGAGAATCCATGAGGGTAATAATAATAATAATAATAATAATAGACAACATTTATTAGGGGCTTAATACGGGTGTTTCTAGGAGCACCATTGTTTGACTAAAAATTACCAACCAAAACTTATAATAAACACACAAATTATAAATCTGTTTTTTATTCAATAAATCATGCGTATATAATAATAAAAATAAAAATGAGATCAAACATAAGGTCAAACATAAGTTCAAACAAACAAACAAGGATAGGATGGTGTGCACCTCCTTTGACCGACTCACAACTGCAGAGAGTTTTTCACATTGGTCTAACAGGAATGGCATGAATCCTCTTCATCATGACCGAGAATCCCTTTTTGGTGGGGGCGGGAGGGGTAAACACATTAATATTTCAAGTCTCTCTTATCCATTTTTAACTCTGGTTGTGCCAAGAGATGTGCTTGTTTCGATATTTTACCGAAACATGATCAGTGTTTTCTCTTCAAACACCTGCACATCTTAACTATGACTTAATGTACATACACAATTATTTTGTGTACAAAAGTTGTAGAAAATGTAATACCCTATTATTAGTAGTAGTAGTAGAATTAGTATTAGTAGTAGTAATAGTAGTAATAGTAGTAGTTGTAGTAGCAGTAGTGGTATTGTTATTATCATCATTATTATTAATGGTACTATAATCGTCAATGAACTTATCAACTGTTTATAGTTGATCCAGAGTTTTCCATACATGTGACAGTCCTAACCGTAAGTCTAAACATAATATTTATTCTTTCTCTCTCTCTCTCTCTCTCTCTCTTTCTCTCTCTCTCTGTTTCTATCTCACTCTCTCTATCTCACTTTCTCTCTCTCTCTCGTTGTCTATAGGTGAGCATCCGCGTATGGGAGCGTTGGACGTGTGTCCTTTCATTCCTATCAGTGGAGTTACCATGGAGGAATGTGACCTATGTGCCGTAGAGTTTGGGCGAAGATTAGGAGAAGAGCTTCAAGTACCTGGTAAGCTGAAAAATGACAGAAAAGATTAATTAAACTGTTGCAAAAAATTATTTTGATGTGATACATGTTTTTTCCACAAACTCCAGCAGCGATAGCACTGGCTTATTATTCAATGGATAGATGTTTAGGGAAAATCCATTAAAGGAAGTACAGGAAAGTACAGAAAAGATTTAGTGATAGATCAAAGAAAAGTTTGTCAGTTCGTGTTTTTTCGTTGTGAGCAGCTCTCTTTTTGTTCTATACTTAATATTTCAGAATTTGGGAATTTCAAAATTTCTCTAGAGAAAATATGTTGTAATGCATGTGCCTAGATAAAAATTATCAGGCTTGCGTAATATGCGTGGCTGAAAAATAGTGAGTAAAAACAAAAAAGCTTATTATTTTCTCCTTGAGGTCAATGTGCACTTTAGTGACTATGCAAATGAATAACAACTGTTGATTTGCTCAACCTATTCCTTGTCTCTTTCAGTGTACCTGTACGCTTTCTCCGCTAGGGAGGAGAAGAGACAAAAGTTGCCTAGCATCAGAGCAGGAGAGTATGAAGGATTGGAGAAAAAGGTACGTATAAGAATATTATAAATATCATGTGCTGTGCTTGATCTGTTGATATGCCAATAAATACTTATTTCTGATCAGTGACACTGGAGATAACTGTGTCAAACGAAACTTGTGATTTTCTTGGATCGTTCAACCCATTATATTGTTAATGTCATCCACAGAAGTCAGCCACAAAAATAGGCTTCATTGCTTAATTGACATGACAGTGTGCAATGTAAAACTGTAAAGCGAGAATCTTTTTTGCAACAACATTTTTTTTTGTTAGAAATTTTCATTTTCATTACAAGAAACTTTTGAGAATTGCAACAATTTATAGTTGATGTTTAGTTATTTACAGTGTGCGATTTGCAAAACTGGACGGTATGTGATAATCATACAAAATATAATGTAATAATGATAATTATCTGGATTTTTATAGTGCTCGATTCAAAAATACCGCCTCTATAAAGTGTTTTGCAGATATTAATACCCGGGTCACCAGATTCATTCTTGCACAATTTGCACAATCTGTGAGGGCATATGGCAATAACTAACATAAAGGCTTTTGTCATACTACAAGTTACCCGTTTCTCTCCTGGGTATCGAGTGGCAAGGGCCCAAGGACATTAGAGCCGTGCAGTGCCGGGGATCAAACCCATGACCTTTGCTTTTCAATTCAAATGCCTAAACCACTAAACACCTCAACAGTTTCTGGGTTTACAGTAATAATGGTAACATTCAATGACATACACAGGCACTACATTATGATGACTGTTTTTTTTTCATCAATAGAACAAGTTAAATCAGTTTGAAATGGAAGATGTCAATGTTTAATTATGTTCAGTCACGTTTGCATTCCTCCAGCTTGCAGACCCTGAATGGAAGCCCGATTTCGGTCCGACAGAGTTTGTCCCAACCTGGGGCGCCACAGCGACGGGGGCTCGTAAATTCTTGATTGCTATGAACGTGAACGTCCTGGGGACCAAAGAGCAGTCGCATCGTATTGCATTGGACATCAGGGAACAGGGGAGAGGGACAGACCAGGTAGGTCAGGGACTAATACATTAAATTCTATGTTTTTTGTGCTTTTAGTAACCCAAGAATAAAATGTGGACTGGTCAAATTAGAACCTTTGTTGAACACTTCCAAATGTAAGCTTTCATTTTTCACATACTTGAAAAATTACAAAACTTGGTAAGGGTATGAATAATTTAGTTGTTAACTGTACATGGGCCGAATCAATAGGATTAGGTCAAGAGGAAGGAACAGAAGGAGATGGACAGATGATTTCAAAAGGTGGACAGGGAGATCCCTTGCAGAATGTGCAGCAACAACAAGAGAGAAAGAGGGAAAGAGGGAGGGAGGGAGGGAGAGTGAGAGAGAGGAGACAGTGAGGGAGAGAGGAGACAGTGGAGAACATTAGTGTATAATCCAAGACCTCCGACCCGAGGAGGCGTAGAACAATGGAATAGCATCTGACGTACATGGGCTCACACATTTCTAAGGGGCTTATTCTCACAAAGACTCTGTACATGCACCACACTAAAGAATATCGTTGTAACATTATTGGTAACATTTATACAACTTACTCCTAGATCCTAATCAAATTATCGGTTGAGAGAATTCAGTTTTCAGGAGGTTAAGCAATATCTAGAACATTCTCTGTTACCTCACCTCCTCCTCCATTCTCATGAATTTACACTTTTTACTTCTCTTTGTAGCCCGGATCACTGAAATCAGTTCAAGCGATTGGTTGGTGGCTGGATGAGTATAACCTTGCTCAGGTGTCCATGAATCTCACCGACATTGACCAGACTCCCATGCATGTTGCCTATGAAGAATGTCTAGCAAGATCTAAGGTAAGACACAATGAAACCTGTATATAAAGACCACTCATAGGAGATGAGATATGTGGTCTCTATGTGCAGGTGGTCTTTATAGACAGGATGTACAATTTCTTTCAACATATTGATCAATGAGAAACTTTGCAAGGAAAATACAAAATGTGGTCTCAATGAACTGGTGGTCTTTCTTACCAGTTGGACTCTAAAGGAGGTTTGAATGTAAGAAGGAAATGTTTCATTTGTTAACAGCTACTTTTAGAGACATTGATTAGATCTCCAGGTAATTGATGGTGGCCAGTGTGGGTCCTCTCGGGCCATACTGGAGGTGTCTGAGTACTACATGGAGAAAGAAAATCTTTTCATTATTTCATTATCGCTATGATTATTCTGTCTCCGTGCAGGTAACCAAGGTTGGCCTGTGTGGGTCTGAGCTGGTTTGTCTTGTTACTCTCAGGACCATACTAGAGACAGCCGATTATAACATGAAGGAGGAGAATATTTTCATGATCATTATCACTATGGTTATTCTGTCTCCTTCTAGGTAACCAAGGTTGGCCTGTGTGGGTCCCAGCTGGTCGGTCTGGTGCCTCTGGCAGCCATCATGGAGGCCGCTGCGTACTACATGGAGAAAGAGAATCTTTTCATTATGGAGGACTCACAAAAAGTCAGACTGGTAAGAATAACAGCCTTTTCACACAGGGTGAAAATCATTGCATCTAGAGCTGATTACTTTAAAGCTGTTTAACTTAACAGCTTTAAAGGGACTATGTAACATTGTTCAGATGAGAGATAGTGGTGATAAGGTAGTGACTTCACAGCTAGATGTACAATTAAAGATAATCTGAAAATTTGAGTAAAAACGGTCCATTATTCATGGTACAAATTGGGAAAAACTGATCTGATCGATTCCTAAATTCTCCCAACTATATTATTACAATTTAATTACATTTTAGGTGAATGTAAATCTTCACAAAGCAATGAAATGACTCTACATTCCATTCCAGACAATTAAGTGTTGACAGATTTTTTATAGCCTGTTTTATGTATTTTTTTTCATGGAAAAACGGTTGGGAAAATTCAAAAATGGTTGGGAGAATTTACTGTTAATCACTGTTAGAGGGTGTCGTACATCGACGCCTTCAAAGAAAACCATAGATATCTTCGTGGTTTGAGAATTTTTTCAGGATTTTGTGCATGTCAGAGGGTAAGTATAGTAAAAGGAATATAATAAGTAACATTTTATACAAAAATTAAGCAATTTTTTTCATCAACCTTCAAAATGTTACCGAGTCACTTTAAAGTCAATTTATCCTTTGTGAATGTCATTTATACGATCTTCGGACAGATACGAAGTCGTGTAGAAAATCAGAGTAACATGCCATGTCACTGACCAAACTGCCAATTTGAGGTTAGCATAGACTTACTGATCTCATATTTCAGACATTCTTGACTTATTTTTAATTATTGGTCTGATTTATTTCAAACTTTTGCCATTCTGTTTATATTTTTTTTAAAGGGTTGGATTGCCTTTTAATATCTAAACTTTGCTCTTGCTTTGAAGCAAATTGGCCTATTCAGTTTTGAGAGTAGTCTTGACCCTTCAATGTTGATGGTTTTTTGTATTAATGTATAGGTTACATTATTCTGAGTTTTAATGGAAAAAAAATGTTCAAGGGAAACAAGAAATTGGTCTTTGTAGACAGGTAGTTGCTAAAAGCAGGTTTCATTTTTTTTTTCTTCAGGTTGTTGATCGCCTTGGTCTCAGTTCACTGGAACCGTTCAATCCGAGAGAAAAGATCATTGAGTGAGTATCTTACTCTGTGCTTCATTTTCCTCACACTCAATATTTACACCCCTTTTGATGATATCATACTCCACAATTCATGAATCCACATTGTTCTTTGCCTGAAGTAAACATCTTTCTGTGAAACCACCAAACTTTTGAGCACTTATAATGTTTTCTAAGTTTACAAATAGTTCATAAGATTCCTGCACTTTCATGTCTTGAAATACTCTTTTTTTAATCACAACTGACACAGCACTGAATTTTGGTGATTCTTGCTGCGAGAACTGTCATTTACAGTTTCTACAAAGTCTCATGTCATGCTATTTTCTAGTTTTGCAAAACCGGGTAGATGTAAGATCAAATTATAGTGGTTCGGTAACCTATGGTGGTGGTAAAGATCAAAGTAGAATGACCATGATTTCATTTTTTTTCCTCCATCATCCAGGTACATGGTTGAAAGTGTTAGTGATGGACCACTTACCTCCATGGCCCTCAAGTCTTTCATCCTGAATGTCGGAGCAAGGTCACCTGCCCCAGGAGGAGGATCAGTTGCGGCAGCCATTGGCGCTATGGTAAGCCAAGGAGCTTGGGTTTGTGAAGCTGGCTCTTTGTTTGTAGTAAAGATAGAATCGGTGGAGATGATAAAGAGCCTTGCCGTGGTTGTTTTGATGATGATGCAGCTCAAGTTGTAGTGGTTGCGTTCATGATTAGGGGGTGGATAAGGGGTAATAGTGATGGAGGACTTGGTTTTTTTTTTATATAAAGTTGATGATGAATATGAGTGATGGTGATGATGATGATGATGATGATGATGATGATGATGATGATGATGATGATAATGATGATGAGGATGAGGGTGATGGTGATGGTGATGATGATGATGTTGATGATAATGATGAGGATGATGATGATGATGATAAAGGTTGGGAAGGGATGATTATTTATGGTTGTGAGTGGTGATAGAAGGATGATCATGAAAGTGAATGTGGTTTTAGTGTTTTTGATAACAATGATGATGAGGGTTATATACTGACACTGCTCAGGATTTTTTTTGTTATAGGAAATAAATAAATCAAATCAAATCAAATCAAATTCACATGGTAACCAGGAACTTGTGAAATATCTAGATCAATATAAATTTTTGTTTGATATCTCAGGGAGCAGCGCTCGGTACCATGGTAGGCTGGCTGTCGTTCGGAAACAAGAAGTTTGAGGCTCTGGACTCCACCATGAGAAAGCTCATTCCTCCACTGAAAGAAGCCATGCACGACCTCCTCCCCATGATAGATGCAGATACGGCAGCATTCTCTGCTTACATGGTAAGTTGGCAACCTCAGACCCAGAATTTGTTTTTAATTTAAAAACTCACAAATGTTTACCAGATTTTGACCCCTTGTGGGCCACCACTTTTATCAAAAATTGAAATAAATGAACTTTAATTTGCATTAAGTGACAGTAGTGTGTTTGAAGCAATTGCATTATCAAGGATTCAAAGTTGTTTTTGTCTCTCCCAAAACAGATCTATGATTATGCTGAATTGATATCCGGTAAAAGTGACAGTTTGAGCAAATCTTTCAAATAACTATATGAAAGAGAATCTAACTGCATGTAAAAGTAATTATTTTGGTGTGTATAAAGACTAGAATGAATCATTGCATGTAAGTTTGTTGATCCAATTTATTGCAGCATACAGTTTTGCCACCAATTCTCCTGACAACTGATAGTCAACCTGTTCAACACGTCGAACCTCTTCTACTACCCATCCTCTCCTAGAAAGATTATCAACAGTTCTTTTCAAGACTCCCTAATCCTCTTCCCTTTCTCACATGATGCAACCGTAAGCCTACATCACCATATCTACATATCATATCATATCATATCATATCATATCTACATCACCATGCAAGCCAATACTTATAAGAAGCATCTAATTCTGCTATAATACTGAATTTAACTCAATGGATTTTTTTTTCTTTTCAGGGTGCTATGAAGCTCCCTAAAGGCAGTGATGAAGAGAAAGCTATGTAAGTGCCATTTGAAATTATGTATTAATAATTGTTTACTATCTCTCGAAAATACAATTGTGTATGTTCATGGTTTGTAAAAATATATGTCCCTTAAATCTCTAACCCTATAGTAAGTACGATACCCTATTATTCATGGATTTAATTCCTGTCAGGTGCCCATTTAATTACCCTCGATTAATTCTTTATATACCACACAAATAATCTCCCTGTGCCACATTGTATATGCCCTCCCGGCAACCATATGGTATGAATAGTCCCCAGGGAGTGGAGATGGTGCACATTATGCGTGAATGAATCCAATGACAGGATAATAATATCTGTAAAGCACTTAGAGAAGGTATTTTGTATTAAGTGCTATATATCCAGATTATTATTAATCACCCTTTTAAAGAATTAAGTCCTACCCCTGGGGCCCGTTTCATAAAACTTTTATCAATAACAAATGCTAAATTTGTATACAAATTTGCTCTCAGCCAATCAGATGCCATGGTTTCAGTAGCTTATAACAGTAGCTTGTAACTTGTTATTGATATCAAGTTTCATGAAACAGGGTCCTGATCTTATTTCTACCCTTTCCATTCATACATGAAGTCGAGACGAGACCATGAAAGCGGCCATGAAAGACTCGGTCGCCGTCCCGATGAATGTCGCCATCACAGTCAATGCATGCTGGGATACAATGAAGGAGATGGCCCGCTACGGCAACATACAGTGCAAATCCGATATTCAGGTCAGTAGGGAAAACCGGATTGATCGATTTTAAAGATTGACCTTTCGCCATTACAGGGGAAACTCGATAAAACGAGGTCGTCAGGACCAATTGATTGACCAAACCAATTTTTTTCTCCATACATATCAGTGGTAACGTCTGGCTAGCAAAAACTAGGTATTTTTTGAGCGTGCTCGGTAAATAGGCCGATGTAGCAAGGTTGTTCGAAAAAAAGAGAAAAAGAAAAGGAAAGAAAGAAAATCAATGCAAATTTGAATATTTCACCCTGTCATGAACCAGTCCTGTGCATAATTTTTTCCCCTACTCCTGAATAATTCATTATGCACCTCAGAGTAAGACTGACTAATTAGTCTTAGCCAATTATGTTGGCATCTCTGATAAATGTGCAGACTACATGTATGTGTAATTGCATTGGATTCCTGTCTTAATTGTGCATGTGCGCTGCCCTCTTTAATACCCAATCGACTGTCCAATCATAATCTTTGTTCTATTCACACCTCTCCTCTTTCTCGCGTTCAATCGAGAGCGAGCATGCTTGGAAAGCCAATGGCTGTGAAGTGTTGGTGCACTGTACATAATTAGGCTATGAGAGTTTCGATACTGCTTTCAGCGCATCGACCGTACGTATAGCCAGCCCTCAGGCGCGCCCAACATCATTCACTCTGCTTGCACAGTTTGTGTGCAATAATCTCAGGGCTAAAGACACTTGTGCTCCAATGAGTTGTCGTACACATAAAGAACAGTGAAATAGCTTGTTATAACGGAAATGATTAACATTGTTTTTCCTTTTTTAGGGGCATTGGATTTAGCTCGTAATAGCAGAAATGTCGTTATAGCTGACCTCGTTATAAGAGGTTCATGCCGCCAAAGAATTACACATAAATTGATTTGGGCCCATGACAACATCCTCATTATAACCGTTACCTCGTTAAATGAAAAGTTTAGACCATAAATGTACTTGTATATTTAGAATATGCTAAGGGACATCTTTCCAAGTTTTACATTGTAAGAATTTTTCTTTTGTTTATGTTCCATATGAAAAAATTAAAAATTGTGCTGTTTGACAGTTGCTTCCTCTAGTCAAAGTAGGGCAGTATTCTTCAGCTTTTCACAATCAAAATTGTCATCATCATCATAATCACCACTTTTACTGTTATCACCATCATCATCACTTACCACCATCATATGCTTCTTGTTAACATATTTTTTTCTTTTTGTATTATCTCTATGTTTTTATTAATTGTTTACGGTTCTTACGTGAGGAATCAGATACCATGTCGTATTCGTTTCTTACAAGTGTATATTAATTTGGTTAAAATTAGATGCACTTTTGTTACTTGTTCTGCAGCCTACATTATTTCTTCTCTTCTTGTTCCATTTAAAAAGAAAAACTTGAAAAGTTATACTGGCCAGAAAACACAATGATTTACAGACTATGTATTACATTGTTTTCCAGAAAAAATGAAAAATCATATTGTTTTACACTTACAATCATGTTGTTTCACATTACAGTGTGACATTAAAAAAAAACATAGCATGATACTTCGGCCTTGTTCCATTTAGTTTCACAGTGCACCTTAGAGAAGTTTACTAGATATAGATGGTGCAATATTGTGTTAGATACTTATAAATTATTGAAAACTGTTTTATTGTCTGTTACATGCAGGTTGGTTCTAAAGCAATGGAGCTAGCAGTGTGGGGCGCTTATTACAATGTGATGACCAATCTGCCTAATATCTCTGATGAGGTATATCGAGAGAAGGTATGTCATCTCTCTTTTTAAATATTAATTCCTTTCATGCCTTGCACAACAAATCTAAAATTTGAGCCTTCAACAACGTGTTTGGTTCTAGATGGTAAGTGCTTTTATCCCTGAAGGAGAAATATATATTTCTTTTCAGTTATGATTTTTTTTTGAGAAACAAGAGCCCATCTTCAAACTATTCCCCCGTCTAACATTATTTGCTTAAAAATTGCATACATATTATTATTATCATCAACAGATGTGCAGTTTTTATCTCTTGTTTACAATTATTGTGCTAAAGTACACTTGTGAATATAACCCCTGCTTGAAAAATTGCATGTGATTGAAGCATAATTATTCATATTTACTTCTCTTGTACCATGCAGGCCAAAGAAGACATTGGGACTTTCCTGAAGGTAGCGCAAGATGCCGCCAGTGATGTCTTAGAGATTGTTGCCGACCGCACCGAGTGAATTGGTGATCATGATGCTTAGCCGTGACCTAATCAGTCACGGACAAAGTTTCCCCCATGTTTAGATGAGTTATATAGCTGAATGAAGTGCCCCTTGTGTAGGTTTGGACCAAAGCTTTGTCTTTGCATTGACTATGTGTGTGAGCCCTGCGTTAATGGAGTTTTAGCTGTCATTTTTCTGATGTAGAATTAAATCACATATTATAAAATTATTATGGCCACCAAGTGGTCACTCCCTGACTTAAAATTGTAATCTTAAAGCGAGGAATTTGTTTTTATGTTTTTTCAAGAATTTGAAAATAAAACTGCATTGAGTCCTCTGTCTGTGAAGTGGTAAAAAAGGTATTGTCCTCTGCACTGTTGGCAAGTTAACCATGAGATGGCGCTTTGCAATAAACAGTACGTTCGGGCAGAAAGTCGATCAGTTCAATATTGCTTAAAAAGAAAAGATATGGCGGAAAGGTGATTTTTACTTAATTTGGTGTCATTGAAATCCTTTGCAGACAGATTAGATGAGTCACTAAGCACATTGCTTGGTTTCTGTGACTCAAAATTCAGTGTGGAATTATTATGATAGCAGTGAACCAAGAAAGTACAGTAATTTATATTTTGCAGTGTCTCGTGCAGGGTTTTCATGTATTTAGTATACAGTAGGTTTTTGTGCCGAAAAATTAAGTAATAATTTCAATACTCCATCCATTACTCTTGTCCATCCTGCGCATGTAGAAGTGTTGTGCCTTACTGCTGTATTATCATGTCATTTTTGTATTAAAAAACGTCTTTCACTCTCTGCGATATACAATAAGATTATATATGGCTATTGAAATATATACACTCTATATAGAATATTCATGTACAACTTCCTAACTCTCTTTATCTCATCAGCACAGTCATCACCTTAATCACTCTATTTACCATATCTCATATCATCTTCTCATATATATTTTTCACTCCCATCCCCAACATCATATTTGTATATATATGTAGGAATTTTTCAGATTCATAAAGGATTACCATGCTTCAAGCTTAGCTTATGTGGCAATCCTTCTTTATGATGTTAGTATTACAATGTAAGTATTTTTATGTGGATGATGTATTAATTATAAGATTTGTTTACTATCATGATCATGTTGTAATTAGTTTGTAACTTTGGAAAAAGACCATGAAGAGAAAAAAAAAAAATAATCAAATAAATCAAATCGGTACTTGTCTAAAAGAAGATAGAATAAGAGGGGAGAGCCCATTTCACAAAACTTGAGTCTGATTGAAATTCTTGACTCAATAGTTCTTTAATTTATCTGAATTAATTCTGAATAATGGAAAAAAAAAGTGTCCAAAAATACTTGATTCAAATGGTTTCCAACGGGTTAACATTGAAAGGCTAGGGCTGTATAGATGCATGGCCCTCGGGAAGAAAATAATTAATATTAATAATACTTATCCTCATAAGTAGTAGTATTAGTTTTTAAAAAAAGTATTGTTATTTTTTTATATTTATCATTATTATTATAATTATTATTATTATAATTACTTTATTGTTATAATTATTGATATTATAAGTATCATTATTATTATTGTTGTTATTAATCAGTGACTTTCTCTCAGATTGGACTGTTTTTTGCAGGAAATGTTGCCTTAGTTTCCTTTCTGAACAAAAAATTCATAGGTTATTGATATGTAATGTATTTTGTCTATTTCATTTTAAAATGATACCTTATACCTTGACAATCTATTTTACAGTGCCATGTTTTTTCTAGGAACTACTTTCATCAAAATAATGCAAAAACCTGGAATAACAGAATATTACCATAGTGTTTATGGTGGCCTCTGTTCATCGAATATAGAGAGATTATATTCAACTTATATGTACATACCAGTGGAGTAAAGAATCTTAATAATGATATGTGTGTGTTTGTGGTGTGTCTGAAATACTGAGAAAGCAGTATCAATCATCTTCATGCTTTAGACAGGACCAAAGGAAAGGACCAACATGTAGAAGTCCTATCCAAAGGACTGTTTAATTGAGGTTTACTATAGGTTTTGAACCTGGGAACTTGAAAGTGGGAACTTGAAAGAGGCTATTGCCCTTGCTACCTGGTCCTTACACCCATTCGAGTGTAGTGTATAGTAACTCCAATATGTATGTAAAATCAAACTTGAAAACATGAGCATGACAAATGTTTTACTATGCATGTACCATGCTCCATTTTCTCGCTTTCATACTTGTTTTTATTCCATTCTGTGTGCAATAACGCCGTTCATGTATTCCTGTTTTTTCATAGCTGCCAACCATTCCTGTTGTGGAATTAACGTTCCTATATTTTGGACTTCAATCGACATTGTAATATCAAAAACCGTAAATTCCTCTTTTTTTAATGTAAAAAATATACAAAGGATTCCTAATTTTGCAGTGAGAGATTTGTAATGTTGTGATAGAACGTAGGCACGTACACATTGTGTATTTCTCCTTGAGTACCGTATTACAGGGATTAGAAGAGAACTGGGTAAAAAGGTGTGAACATTCTTATCATAATGATTTTCTTTCTTAAGTGGATCTGGATGACCGAGGAAGCGGATTTGAAATGAAGATAAATCAGGTAGGAAATAAGAACGTTATGTAATGTTTGACAGTGGAGATCAATATGGAGAACATTCTTTAGGCAATTCAGTTGTGACATAAAAGGATCACAAGTACTTAGTATTTAATGGAAATTCTGTATACTGATATACTCAAAATATCCTTTTGTCACTCCAGCTTTTCATAGGAGGACGTTTCAAAGTGGGATCGCCCATCATCATCATCAGGGAAATATGCCCGTTCCAGCCTACTCGTTTAGAAAAAAAGAACCTTAAGTTAAGTGCAGGCAGCATATACAGGCCTGATAAAAACCCGATTTAAATCGGTTTCCCGATTTTTTTTATTTTTCCCGATTTTTTCCCGATTTTTTTTTTCTTCCCGATTTATTAAAAAAAAAAAAAAAAAAAAATCCAGATTTTTTTTTTTTTTTTTTTTTTTTACCAATTTTTTTTTCTTCTTCCATATTTTATACTGATTTTCCCAATTTCCCTCTTATTTTCTCTATTCTCCCTATTTTGCCCTATTTTTTCCCAATTTTCTTTCTCGAAAGGGGGGGAATGTTGTTAGATGCCATTTTTTCCCCGCGAATCCTCTTCTTTCTTTTTTTACTCAAGGGGGGCGTGGTTGAGGGGAAAACAAAAAACCTATTTTTTTTTAGTGCTCACTATCACCCCTGCATATATAGGAATATTCCCCTTTTAGGTATGACGTCACACGCGTGATTGAATTCAGTGCAAACCAGTGTTTCAACCTATCTTCATTGACCTCAACTAATAGGTACACACCCAAAAAAGAAACAAACAGTTATAAAACAAATCAAAGATAAGTACTCAAGGAACAATAGTTATGATAAGTCTCTCTTATATGTGATTATCTCGGCGCTTGTTTTCGGATTTTCTGGCTTTCCCAGTAGGGCGCAGAAAGTCATTATAATATCATGTTATTGCCTGTAATTACCATGACGTAAATGACAGCTTATAAAGCCATGAAGAAAAAAAGTATAATGTGAATAATTGGAAAATCTCACTTTTCATGTTATTGGAAATTGACGTTCGTTTCCCAAGATCGACTTACAGTGCCGGCGGGTTTATTCCAATTAAATATTGAAGTACCCAGTAATTTTGTATTTTGCTGCCAAGTAATATGCTAGATTCTTCCCTTTGGGATTTTTTATAATGTACCATGCATTCCATTTTTGTTCGATAACGTATTATGTGTCTCATTGTACAAGTGTTTATTGGTTTCATTTGAAAGCCTTCTATTTCTCTGAAATATCTGCTGAAACTGCCATGTATTGTGATATTGCAATGTTGTGTGGCTTGTTTAATAAAAGCTAATATACCTAGTGCATTTGAAGTTGATCTATTTGTGATTTTGTGACGTTGTGATATTGCAATATATATTTTTAAGCTTGTTAAATCAAATCTAATATCTAGTGCATTTGAACTTGATCTACATGTATTTGTGATACACGTAAAGGCTATACAGCTGTAAGAAGCTCCTTCCTTTGGCCGTGGATTAGTTTATGAAGTATAAAGTAAGCTTAGTTGGGGGGAGTTACGTACGTATTGCGGCTGTGGGCTATATTTTCGCGTCTTGCCAATAATATAGAACGAATAACATCAACACGATGATTAAGGCACCTGCACAGGAATCGCCTGAACTGTACATTTCGACAAGAATGATTAGTTTGGTCGACTTTTTCTGTCTCTAAATTATACGTCATTATTAAATACCGAAATACAATCGTAACGACGTAATTGACGGAAAGGAGGTCAAATCCGTCTGGTTTCGCATCCGGTTTAACAATTGCAACTTCTGTCAAAGGATCAACATATTAAAAGCAAATGCAGTATTGCACAAGAGAGGTGAACCAAATCCATACAATTTTGAACCCGGCTGTGCCTAAATCTTTAAATAATGGTTTTGAAATTTAAAACAAAATAAAAGTTCGAAGAAACTATTTCTAGCCATACTGACTCTGATAATCGTAACCGTCATGATAATGCAGAAAAAATTGTGTAACTAAAGATAATTGCTCGTATGGAAGTGGGTTATAAATTTATAAAAATACCTTTCATTCAATTTTTTTTTAGGACAAGCAATATTTCGGGTTTCGAAGTCGTTCATTTAAAGACACATTTAGTATTTTAAAATTAAGCGTATAGGAATATTATTGACTCAAAATGAATTTCTTATTGTGGCCATTGGCGAGAGTTGGCTGCATGAGGGAATTCAGAATGACGAAATACTTGTAATTCGTTTTACTACTGTACGTTGTGATCGTTCAGGTAGGGAAAGCCACGGAAGAAGTGCTCTCTCTCTCTCTCTCTATCTTTCGATATATATATATATATATATATATATATATATATATATATCTGGAAAAAATCAAATTCATATCTCTGGATCTTGCAGAAGATGAGGATATTCAATTTGAACTATACTTGGTATAAATTTTACCGACAGAGAGCAAACGTATTATCATTGGTTTTATATATTTTCCAAATGAAATGTTTACGTCAGTTAAAAGGAATCTTTCTGATATAGACCTGAATAACCGTATTGCAGGCGATTTTAGCTAAAACTTTTTTTCGCTAAAATGAAAGAGTAAAAATAGATTAATCTGTTATGAATATCAAATGTCACAGTTACGGTCAGTACGCCTGTTAGAGTGACATGAAAAAAACAACTAAAAAATCCGCAAAACAACAACTAGGCCTATCTCCCTTATACCTGCTAAGATGCAATCTTACCCGTCAGCGCAGTAAGTTGCGCCAACTATATTCGGTCAAGCCTAGGTAACTCATGCATAGACGAGGGGCGTTAGTGTACGTATTAGTTAACAACTATTGATTAGTTAACAACAGGTACATATCTGTATTATGTGTATACCCACTCTTCAATAAAAGATACATGTACATAGTTATATGCATTATAGGGATACATAATTATTTTACAAATCATAAATTTCATCTCATGAATTTATACACATTAATTAAAGAGAACAGATTAAATAAAAATGTTTTTAATTTGACTTATCAATAATTTTACTAATATATCATATTACAAATGACAAAATACGTTATATTGTAGGCTATCGTCAAATAGCAGGTCACGAAAAACTGAGTCCCTCGCCGAATTATGTCATAGCCATACTGACAGGACTTAACCTCAGTGAGCAGGAGAAAAACTCCTAATCGCTGGCCCCTTGGACTATTCTTCACCGAAACGTTTCAGTAATTTACTATATTGCCTTTTGTATGCAGGCATCTCTTTTTCTTCTTCAAATACTCCATTATTTGCTTTGGTTGGGCTTCATTTATTTCTGAAAGAAGCATCGCTCTTTCAATAATATATATCGAACGATATATTAGGTAATATACCTGACAGTTTCAACATCAAGGCATCTATCACGGAAACCGGTTGGATAAATACTTTATGTTAAAGGGATTGGGTAACTTCGTCTCAATTTCTGAAACAAAATCCTGGATTTAGCTCATGCTGCAATGATAATTATAAACCTTTAGGTCAGTCAGGAAGCCAGTGACTTTTACAAGCCGATCGTCTGTCTGATTATCAAGATATTTATGATTGGAAATCGAAATTAATTTTTGCGCTTTTCTAAAGGTTTTCATAACACTGCAGTCTATTAGGGAAAACGGGTATGGTAAACCCGGTCACTCAAAGATTTTTACTTTTTGAGGCACTTCTTGATCATTTTGAAGTGCAATTTTGTTAGGGCTTCAATATAACACCATGTCACAGACACTGATAACACTTAGGGCCGTGCATCTCAGATTTAATATTGTTAAACGATGCCTTTAATTGATTAGAGCG